TAGAAGCTGTCACGGTCATGCCCACAACATGATCCGACAGGAGGCCCATATCACAAGTTGGGCTGACAGCGGCATCCAACACCTCCCGCTCTTAGCCCTGCCTCTTTTTTGGGTGGGGTTGGACGAGTGAGGCCAATAAAACGTGTGATGTGGGCTCAATTTTGCTCACGACCTGTGTTGTAGACATAAGAGGGTAGTTGTAGTGAGTGACTAGGGGTTATTTTACCTGAGGAATCCATTTTTGATGTTATTTTTACCAACGGTGGGCCGCTACACTAACCGTAGCGGTTAGTGTAGCGTAACACAGCGGAATTCCCGTTAGCATTAAGCGTAGCGTAGCGGAATTCTGCCACTACACCGATTCCGCCACTACACCGCTAACGCTACGCGTGTGGGCCACAAAAAAGGGCCCACTACGCTGCGCTACAGCCGTTTTTAGCCGCTTTTTCCGCTAAAAGCGCTGTAGTGCAGCGTAGCGTAGCGAAAATGCGCTACAAAAGTGCTAACACTACAAAAATTTGGCGCAAAAAAAGCAACGCTACGCTACGCTTTTTGGGCCAAAAGTGTAGCGTAGCGTAGCGGCCCACCGCTGTTTTTACCATATCTTCAATGTCTAGAGAGATAAAAATAAATTTTTATATTTTTGGTGTAGAAACACAGGAACAATTACCACGCCGGTTTGGCAGTTTAGGTGGAACATTGCCTGATTAATTCAATAAAAATAAGCCAATGCAAAATATGTAACAAAATTGCTACTCAGGCAAGTTCAATTACTGGTTTCATCAATGCTGAGAACAATTTAATATCTTAGGCCATCTTGAGCCCCATGATATTGATATTACCCTTTATATGGGTAAAAAGTGCAATATTGGTATTATGGTGCTGAAGGTAGCCCATTATCTCCACTTTGTTTGTACTAAAATTGAAACCAGTAGTTGACCTTTCCCCATTAAAACTTTCATTACATATTTCTGAGTGGTTCATTTTCAATTGAATTTATAAGGCAATATTACACTTGAATTTGTGACACTGCCAAACGGGGCCTGATATTTGGGAGTTGTATAACTCAGCCCCTTTTGAAACCAGTCAATTGAATAATGGTGGATTGTGTTATATCTGATACCTTCTAGTATAATATGTCTTTTTACAAGGTTTATATCTTGACTGAAGCCTTGTAAAAATAAACAATTGAAGCTTGTCAGAGGAATTTTACAAGGAATTTCATTGCAGGACATATACCTAAGCCATACTTGGATCATTTCTGGTAGAATATCAATATTGATGTGAGTGATATAGTGCTCTTGATAATCCAATACCTTTTGACCATTTTTTGAATAAACTTTACACACAGCTATGTACAGCCACCAGTGCCATCCAGTTGTTTATGGCTGGTTTGTTTGGATTACACAACCTTAACATACCAACTTGAAATCATGGGACTTGGGCAAGTGGTACAAAATAGGTTTCACAAAATGATTCTGAAAACATAAATGTGAAAAAATAATCTGAATGATGAAATAAAAATTGGAAAGAGTAGAATGGTAATCAAAAAGAATGATAATAAATGGAAAAAATCAATAACAGAAAACATTTGGAGCTCAGAATAGAGATGGCATCAAGAACTTGTTGCCTTCCAACAAGTACTTGCCTGCAGGTGCGGGTGCAGGTTCAGGTGTCTGAGATCTGAAAATTTTCACACAAGTACTTGTACTTGTTGCAGGTGCGCACCTGTGCACATTTACTTCAGATGGCACTTGATGTGTTTTGTTGTCCAGGTGTGTTTTTTATCTAAATTATTAATATTATGTTGGTTGATTTTTTACCAACTTTCCCACACATTCTGAATCAACCACTGTTGATGTGGAGCGGTCCTTTAGCTTTGGTAGGGAATATGCTTTTCTCAGGATGCGCAAGCTCAGTGCACAGTCTGTCACTAGGGGGATGAGTGTGGCATTTTACTCAAAAAATGGTAAGATCAAGAGGGGTCTTTTGAGAAAATAGACAGCAAATATAAAGAATGAGAAGAAAGAAGCATGCCTTCCTGTTCTCCACCACCCACCAACCAGCCAAGGGGGGTTGATAAGCGCAAGCCAACCCCCGACGCGCACGCATTGCAGAATGCGTGCAGCAGCAAGCCATCCGCCTGCAGGGGTATGCCCTGCAGGTTGGTGTGCCTTTCTGCACGCCCAACTTTAGGTCTTAAACGCTAATTTATATGCATTTAGGACCTGGGCTGTCCCATAGGACCCAGACATGGGTCCTATTGGACGGCCCCATTTTTTCTTTCTTTTTTTTCCCCCTCGGCCTAGAGAGGCTGAGGTCACACCGCCGGGAGGAACCCCTCCCGCCGAGCCGGTGTACGGTCCAGCGGAAGGGTTTCCTTCCGCTGGACAAGGTACGTGTACCTCGTCCATTGGAAGGAAAGCCTTCCGCTTGGACAAGGTACATGTACCTCGTCCAGTGGAAGGAAAGCCTTCCACTGGACAAGGTATGGCATGCAGATTGGTGTGCGCGTGGGGAGTTGACTTGCGCTTATCAAGCCCCGCAGCCAAGTCAATCAACAACCTCAATATTCCACCTATCTCTGTTTCCCACTCAAAGCTCTTAATCCTTACCATGACTAGCCTTCCAATCCTCCAGACTATCAACCTCTCATACCCTCTTGTCAACATCTATGATGTTTTACCTCCTCCCTTCACCCAAGAAATACCTCCTTTGGTGGGTACTCACAACCCACCAAATGCCCTTAGGCTTGTTTGCCAGGTTGATGGAATGTCACCCTCATTCCCAACCAACCCACACCAATTCACCATTCCAGGCAACACCTCAGAAGATGCCAAAGAACTTGTCCGGGAAATGGGAGCCACCGTCCAATGGACTCTCCAAAGAGGAACTGACAACAACTCCAAATTGGAGAAAGGGATCCAGGGTAGCGGTCGTTGCCCGGAGTTCTACTTCAAACTTGAGTACAAGTGTCCTCACACTAGCCATCTCCAACGTGCAATCAATTCCCGCAAGCATCATCCATCACGTAAATGTGGATGTTTGGCCAAGTTCACCGTTACTCACGACATCACATCCAATTCACTCCAAGTGGTGTGGTTCTGGGAGCACAAGCACAATCCCTACTCCTACAAAGACATGCAACATTTCCAAACCCCCAAGAGTGTTGACAAGTGGCTCAATGATTGTGTAGTTTCCGGTCTTGGATGGGAAGCAATTCAGAGGCTTATTTGTCTACCCAATCTGTTTGCAGTAAGTTCGGCCCATCTATATCTCCAAATTTACAATTAACTTACTAATCACCCTGTCCTTGCAAAATCAACCTTCCTACAGCTGGATAGGTCCCATTATGTCTCTGAGGGCAGAGAGATCAGATACAACAGAGTCCGCTATCTGATTTGCAAACGTGCAAGTGTGCTTGCCCGACGTGATCCAAACATTTTCAACTCGTTGTCTATCTGGAATAAGCAGCTCTTGTTGGATTGTTGGTCAACTTACACACCGGTCCTCTCAGACTTGTCTGAATTCATTTTTGCCTTTCAATCACCATGGAAAAAGGAGATGCTTGTCCATTCATTTTTGCCTTTCAATCACCATGGCAAAAGGAGATACTTGTCCAATATGGACAGAGTATGATAATGCTTGACAGCAATCACAACTTGGTCAGCAACTATTTCATGTCCGATGGGAAGAAGATCTATCTCTACACTTTTTTGATTTGGGACTCAATCACAGGCAGGGGTCTTCCCATTGCCTGGGCATTTACTGCATCTGCTGCCAAGTAACAACGCTGCCACAGATACGGTATCTGCCCGTATCTGCCATGTATCACTATGTATCTGAGCCCCAATAAAAAAAAACTATCTGACCAATCTTCTTTTATTTGCAAGGAGATTCAACAAATTTGGTTTTTGGCCATGCAGCTTTGCAGAATTCTCCATGATACACACAGCGTATCGTATCTGTGGCAGCGTTGCAAGTAAGTCCTCTCATTTCTTTTTTTTTCTGCCATGGGTCTTATTAACTGTAATTTTGAATGTAGACAACCACTTGCCAAAGTACTACAATGGTTATGAACATCCACCGGGGCTATCCCCTAGGCATTCATGAGTGATCGTGCCCTTGCAATTGCTGGTGCAATCAAAAGTGTTTATGGTCAAGTGGGTGAACAGGCACCAAAGCACTATTGGTGCATGTTCCATGTTTTCAAAGCTTTCAAAGAACAAGCAACAAAGCACTTGGATGGTCTGGCATAATCAGCAATGTTTGATTTTCGTGACATAGCTTATTCCACGAGACACCCAGGACTTAAGTTGGCCGCTTTACTGACCAATTAGGAGAATTTCAACCCGTTGTTCTCAAAATACATCAAGACACAATGGGAAAAAAACCTGTTGCACTGGGCTACATTTTTCCGTTGAGTGAGTTCAGTCTTTCTTTGTTTGCTTCATGCAACTTCTCACATGTCTGACCCAATTCATCAACTGAGCAGACTTCACACCAAGCATCACACAAACAATTATACAGAGGCATGGCACCAAGTGCTCAAATCAAAATACATTGCTAAAGACAGGGAACGAATTGACGAGGTCATACAAATGTTTGCTGATGATGCCGTCACAGATTACCGGTTCAATAATGAGCAGGTGGATATGGGATTCACTCCTCAAATAACTAATAAATTCCAGAAAAAATCAAAGACACTTGCTGACAGCTACACCAAAGAATTGCTTAGTACGCTAGGGGTCAAGCAATTTCAGCATGACACACATGTAAGTTGATTCTCTTTGTTTCCAATCATATTGCACAACAAAGCTGAATAGAAGTACAAATTCTGAACAACTAGTTTTTCACTTTGTCATCCACCAATTCACACCGCAAAGCGTACACTGTCAAATTTGAAGCTGGTCGGCCTGGACATGTGCCACAACTTTGGAGCTGCAATTGAAATCACTTCAGGCAATGTGGCAGTGCATGTAAACACATGTACTACCTAGCTCGTGAGCATTGGATGCTGGTCATTGAGCAGGTGTTTGACCTCACCGGTCTTGATAAATTGCCAAGCAAAACAAACAGCCCACAGACTGGTGGACCAGAACAAACATGTCTGGAGATTGTTGATGATGATTCAGATGTCAAAGTCATCGGCGTTTGAACTGCCCCCAAACAAAAACATTTTAGAGCAGCCCACAGCCCACCAGAAGTTAATCTCAACAAACGTCCACGGGTGGAGCTACCACGCTTTGACAGCTTACCAACTGACTCCAACCATAGTAACCCCTCTACCACACTCACAACCCATTGCTTTGACAAGCGATCACCAGTTGATCCAAATCCGTTAACAACTGATGTTAAGCTCAAAAGTGTTTGTGAGAACCTTTTGCTGAGTTTGGAAAGGGATGTGTGAGGTAACCTCTGCCTTTCCTGTGTACTACAATAAACAAGACCACCAATCTTAGATTGGCAGATTTTAATTAGTGATAGTGGAGTGTATCAATAGATACTCTGTTGTTCAACAGGTGGACAGGTGCAAAAATGGGTTGTTGTTATGTGTAATGATGTTGTAATAATTGTATGTAAGGGTTGTTATAAGGCTAAACTGAGCTATTTTAGCCCAGAGCTAGAAACATTACAAACATTCCAAAATGAATTTTTAGCTCATTTGTGACATTTTTAATTTTTGGCTAAAATAGGGGGTATCAAATATCAGAAATCCACCATTGGAAACCAGTCAATTATCCAGAAGTATTTTTTTACACCAATGCATCTCTGAGGTGGTAAAATGGATAACCAACATGTTTTAAACATGGCAGTTTTTTCAAAACCAGTCAATTAATTAATGGTGGATTTGCCTATATTTGATACCCCCTAATAGCTCATTTTAGCCTAATTTTTTTACTCCTGAGGCATCTTGCAGAAAAGTTCCAGAATATTGATCTATTTTCCACCATCCAAATTGCCATTTTTCCTTGGGGCAAAATCAGTATTGTTTGTAGTGTTTGTGTGTTGATAGTGAGGTTTTGTAATAGAATTTTCTCCCACAGACGCTGGAAAGTTCATATCAGACAGAATTTATTTATTTGGTCTTGTCCTGGATGATTCTGTGGGAAAATGTAGATAATAACTTACCAATTGGATCAGATGGATGGATAATAGCTGTTGCAGCTATTGTTTTAAGGAGCTTTTAGTTCACAGGAGGAGTGATTAAAAAAGTTTAACCATATACCATGAACTCTGCACCTCCAAAGGTATCGCTACTAGCGAAATCGCAGGAGACATTAATTCTCCCACTCAACCTTGGCGCACCTGGAAAATGCATCATGTGGACTCTGCTTTTATATACGTTTACGTTCCTATTGTTATCTTCAGTTTCAGTCCCAGCTTCCAGATAGTTGTGACATCCCCATTCCCTTATTCGGTCCTAATCATTATTTGCCTTTTGCCGAACTAGCCTCAAACCAATACCGCTAAGCTGTCATCTGAAACTTATTTTTTTTTTCCTTGATCTGTCATCATTCGACTTTTACTTGGCATTCTTTTGTTACTGTAAATTGTCTTTTTCAGCCTTCCCCATTGTTCCTTTTCCTCTGGATATAGTCCGATTTCTCACCCTCAGTCTTGTACTTGACTTTCTCTTGTTACTCTAAATTGTCATTCTCAGCCTTCAGCCCTGGTCCCTTGCCTCAGGAAGTATTCATCAGTCCCGAAATTGGTGTTTAAACTTTTACCCATTCCGGAATTTCTTCATTGCCTTCTTCACCTTTAATGCCAAAGCAAAAAAACAACGCCCCTCTTTACACTGAGTTGAAATGGTCATATACGGAGTAACTTCGCTTACTCCCAATCCTCATTTCTCCTCCAAGACATTAAGCTTCACTTCCAAAATTTCGGTCCGAGTCTACTCAAGTTTCCACTCGTCCCAAACTTATCCATACCTTTACTATGTACCTCATCAAAGGATGTCATCTCTTCACAGAGCCAATTCTCATCCTTGAGGATGGCCGTATCCGATTTACTTTCGTCGACAATACCGTTCCTTATCCTGATCGTCTTAACGGATCGAATTATCCCTCTTATACTGTTTTTGCTAAGCCCATGAGCCTCCCTCTTCATGTCCCCGGGCCATGGTTAACTTACTACGGAATCATCAATGATTTCCCTCGGGATGGGCCAATCGTAGTCCACGCTAATGCTTCTTACTGGGAAAGAGATTGTCCCTCTTTTATGAGAAATGGAGGTGTCCCCCACATCACCGGACACTTTCGTATTCTTTCCCATGATGTGGGAATCGTCGTTCAACCATTATTCCCATCACCTGTACATCACAACTTCAATTTCCTCTCAATTCCCTTATTCTATCACCAGGCTAACAACTTAACTGACAAATTCTGAATTCTATCAATCTACAACCCAGATGTCCTTTCAAATCAAGTGTCCTGGGTTCATTGCAATGTATTCCGATGTTCTTGAGCCTAATCACCAAGTCTGGATCAGCGGCCGCATTCTACGCAGGGTTGATAATATTCTTTACATCAATGTACGTTTTGCTCCCTGAGTCTATAGATCGATTCTATTAACTGATTCACCTCTGACGAGTTCATAGACTTCTATCATTGCTCCCTGTGCCCACATCAAAGAAAAACACTGGAACAGGCGCCTATAGTCCAACTCATTTGTATCTAGCAGTTCTCCTAATCAAAGTTCTTTAACCCCTGAATAAGATAAATTCTTCTCTAATCTCATCACCTATCGAACCTCTCCTTGTGTCCTACGCTCTGATTCTCCCTACATGTTCCAATAAACTTTAGTCTACATTAGAACCGGTTCTACCCAGGGATACTCTCATCCATTCATACAATGCCAGCAATGCATTCTACTATTCAATACTTGCCCTGGGACCCAAGATAGCAGTTCATTCTGTATTTGAAATCGCGGATTTTGTGTATTTTAAGTTGCCGATTTTGTCAACTGTTCCTACCTTGCCCTGTCTCACTCCCAGCTCTACCACTCTGACCTCGCATCTCCAAACCTCCTCTTGAATTATGAGTGACAACAAAGATAAACTTGGGAACCGTTCCCTCTCTTTTAGAAGCAACTTTAGGCCTTTGGAAGAGGTCTGTATTTTTCGTTTTCTCCTTTTGTACCGGTTCTGATTTTGGATTCCCAGTCTGTCGCTAAGATTAAGCCAGGACAGATATATGGATCAGTTTCAACACCAAGCTTTGTCACTTGTGACGCTCACGATGCCATAGATTATCGTGTTTTACTTATTACAAGCGCTACTGTGGCCCATGTTCTGTCGCCCCTCTTTATTTATGGGGTATCAGGCAGAGTTCTCCTCTTGAATAGCCCCGCGCCTCCGATTTTCAATTATTACATCGAGATGGTGACAAAGATTTGCTCTGTTCCAAACCAAATTGAAGATTCGGCCGATAAGACATTCACCTCCGGTGTCGGCTTAGTTGTTGCCGTGCTCAAACCAAATATTGAAGAAGATTCCGAGCTCAAGATCGGGAAGAAAGTCGACCTGTTAATTCAAGTTAACCACAGCGATTGGGATCCCATTGTTAGTTTTGGTTTCTAAATTCTTCACTAAATACTGATTGATTCTGTCGCAGGATCGCTTGGTCAAAACCTTCAACGTCAAATATATTGTTCCCGCCAATCCGAAGTTAGTGAACACCCACATCATGATTCGGGTTGGCAGGGAATTTACTTTTGATGGATATTTATCTGGATGGGACTTGAAAGAGTGTATGGCCATAATCACAGTGCGTGGAAAGGTTTATAAATTATTCTCATCTATGTGATGCATAATTAATTTTGACTCTACCTTCTGCAGGTCCTCGGGTTCAGTCCCATTAACATGGGCGCTTCATCTCCGAATCAGAAGACCAATCCTTATTCACCTAAATCCAGCCCTGGGAACAAGGGTCGAAGATTGTGAGATCTCCGCTTGCTAAGCCAAAGTTTCATGAGCTGACTTTTGATTTTCGCAGTATAACCTTTGAAGAACATGAACCGAAGACTGCACAAGCATCAACGGAGAGCAGCGGCAGTAACGCAGAAGCAAATCATACCGCGATTCCTTTTCCGTCAACTTCTCAATCTTCAAGCGGAGCGGCTTTGGGGAGAGAAGATTTCGAACCAGAACCCATCGCAGGAATAGGCTTGAACGCAAAAGGCAAGAACAAAGCTGTAGAGTTCGCCACACCGCCTAAAAAAAGGCGCGGGGCCCCTGGGTCCAACTCTTGATTTAACCATGATCCCGTGGTCGAGGACCGCGATTCGTAATTTTTAGCGTTTTGCTTTAGGCAATGGTCTTTTTATTGAATATGTATCCGCTTCTAGGTCTTATTTCTATCCTGTTATCCATCTCGGATTATGTCGCCCTTTCGCCGAATAAGGCATATGTTTAGTGCTCAAGTTCTCTCGCCCAACGCCAACTTATTCCGAGTGTCATCTCATCAAATTTTTTATTGAAACATAAAGATTTGCGCTACTTTTGTGTCATACTCTCGTGATATTTGTATCGCTACATTTTTCGAAAGCTTGATTCATAACTTCATCTTGGGCCCACTGTCCCTTACCCCAACATTGACCCACATTCAATTGCATCAAATTATTGTTGACATTTCCGCGTTTCTCAATAAGCTACAATGCAAGAGGCTCCACCTCCAACCTCACCAATACTTGCGAGGCTCTGGCCGAATGGTCAACACACGTTGGGCCCATGTACTGTTGTATGTGATGACTGCGGGGCTTTGCATTGGCCCGAAGAAAGAGCTCAAGCTGACATCAAAGCGAAACGTAACCAATTTGCGATGTGCTGCCAAAAAGGTAAAGTTACATTGCCTTCAACTTCGGTCTCAGCTCCAAAAATTCCCTTATTCCTGGAAAATCTGTTCCGCGGTGAAAGTCGAGGTGTGTTATCTCAGCTCATAATTTATTGCTATAAATGTACTTACATGTTGCTTCAGAAGCAAAGAATTTCCAACGTTATATTCGGTCTTATAATAATGCAGTGTCGTTCACTTCGCTAGGGTTCACTCTAAGTGATATTGCTAAATCTATACCCGGCTCTCCAGTCTTTTGTATCCAAGGAGGTCTCAGCCATGATATTGGGTCCATTGTCCCGCAAGAAGGGCAAAGCCCTCATTTTGCCCAAATTTTCGTGGTCGGGGATGGTGGTATGCGCGAGGCAAAATATAGACGAGACATTGCTCTTGGGTCGAAAGCATCAGGGCAACTTCAGGCGCAATTTGATGCTAAAATCATCCTTCAACTGCAGACCTTTATGTACAAGCATAATCCGTATGCGCAACTTTTCCGACACACTGCCGAGATCATGAAAGAAGGTCAAAACGTTTTGCTTGTACTAAGATCAATTGAAAATGATTCTCTAGACTTGAATCGCTACAATCGACCGACTCGTGAAGACGTAGGCATCGTGGTACAAGGTGACGGTGTCCTCAAAGAGCCCAGACACATTGTCTTGCATCATCGGAACGGATCTCTCAAAAGTATCTCAGATCTCCATTCTGCATACTTTCCCTTAAGGTATCCTCTGTTTTTCCCGTATGGTTCTCAACAATGGGAACCCACATACCAAATACTTCTTAAAGATGCCGAGAAAGAAGAATATCGGCATGTTTCTCAATGTGAGTGGATGGCGTACCTTCTATTTTCAAGGAAGGCACAATTTTCGGCTATTCTCGCTGGCCAAGCGTTACATCAAGAAATAGTCGTGGACATGTACGCATGTATTGAACATTCTCGATTGAGTTGGGTGTACAATAATCAGGAGACTTTAAAAGTACAAATGTATTCTGGCCTGGTGGAAGCCTTTGGCAAGACTGGCGAACCAAATGGCCGAAAAGTAGTTTTACCTTCAACGTTTATTGGAGGGCCCCGGGCTATGGACCAACTTTATCAGGATGCGATGGCAATTGTTCGAGACTATGGAACTCCGGACTTATTCATTACCATCACAGCCAACCCAGCATGGAAAGAAATCACAGACCTTATTCCACCTGGATCGGATCCATTAAATCACCCCACAATCATTGCCCGAGGCGCAAAGCTTAAATTCAAAAGTTTTATGGACATGCTGGTCAAGAAGCATATATTAGGCCGAGTTGAAGCCTACGTAGCAACAGTTGAATTTCAAAAAAGAGGGATGCCTCATATGCATATCATGTTGACCTTGTCTGCAGATTCGAAACCGGATAACCCAAGCAAAATTGATAAAGTAGTTCAAGCCGAGATTCCGTGCCCAGTTGCGGACCCAGATTTATATAAAATTGTTTCTCGGTGTATGTTACATGGGCCATGCGAAGGGAAGAGTTGTCTTCGACAGGGCCACTGTCGATTTCGTTACCCAAAGGAGTTTCGAGAAGAAACTATTCTTCAGGAGGGAGCATATCCAGAATATAGACGCAGGGACAACGGACGGAAGATTGTCAAAGGTGCATTAAGTTACGATAATAGGAATGTTGTGCCGTACAATCGGGACCTCAGCCTCATGATGAATTGCCACGTCAATGTAGAAGTGGCAGTTGGGATTCAAGCAATCAAATATCTGTATAAATACATCTGCAAAGGGCATGATCGATCGTACTTGGCCCTAGAATCTAACGATGAGGTCAAAGCATTTGTAGATGCAAGATTCATTGGCCCTGTTGAAGGTATGTCGTCTGCTAATGAGCTTTTATATTGGTGCTTGGAACTGATTTTAATGATCTTAAGCGTGCTGGAGAATATTTCAATTCGAGTTGTCGGAGCGTTTCCCTTCTGTTCAGCGGTTAGGAGTCCATGAAGAAGATGCTCAGTCAATATTCTATCGTTCAGAAGATGAAGCAAGGAAGAAACTGAACAATGAGAAAGTCTCCAGGACCATGCTAAACCAATTTTTCGAGCTGAACCGATTGGACGAACAGGCTCTCGGAATTTTGGCTCGAGATTGTTATTACTACGAAATTCCGAAATACTTTTGCTGGGATAAAGAAGTTAATAGGTGGCGGCCAAGGAAACGAGTACTTAAAACAGTCGGGCGTATTCATTTTATTTCAATTCATCAAGGAGAAAGGTATTATATCAGACTATTATTGATTCATCGTAAGGACATTCGTTCCTGGACAGATCTCAAATCGGCGCATGGCATAATTTATGCCGACTGCAGAGCAGCGGCTGACGCATTGGGTTTACTGAGGAACGATGTTCAATACGACGAAGCATTGAACGAGGGATCAAAGTTTAAAACTGGTTTTCAGCTTAGACTGATGTTTGCTATAATGCTGGTGTATAGTCCTCCTGCGGCTCCCACTAATTTGTTTAATGGACACTGGCTACAATTGGGAGACGATTCAGCCTATACACTCAGAACCTGCCACGGAATCACGGAGCCGACACTTATCCAGCTCAGAGCTTTCACGTTACATCAAATAAGCAAGATTCTGGTTTCGATGGGTACTCATCTAGAAGACGTGAGTTTGCCCATGACACCTGAAGAGGTCAACGTTGTGGAGTCGATTCTCTCAGCAAAATTTGATGAAAACGATCTATTGGGTTCCCGTGACGATTGGATTATATCAGTCGGTTTATTGACCGTGCCTCAACGCCAGTTCTATGATGCTGTTTTCAAGGAATTGGTCGAAAAACCTAGGCTTGGGATGTTGTATTATTTGGATGGCCCTGGGGGAACAGGGAAGACGTTTTTATTGAACTGTATCATAGAGGCGCTAATGTCTCATGGGAAAAAAACATTTGCGGTATCATCTACTGGGGTATCGGCTCTGTTACTCCGAGGTGGCAAGACAGCACACTCAGGATTCAAGATTCCAGTCAAATTCTCAGCTGAATCTTATTGTACCTTCTCAGGGGAAGATCGAATAGGTCGGGAATTATTCAACGCAGATCTCATTATATGGGACGAGGCAATATCAATGCATAAAGATGCAATTGAAACTGTCGATCGAAGTTTGCAAGATTTAATGAAGATTAATAAGCCTTTTGGTGGAAAGTCCGTAGTGTTTGCAGGCGATTTTCGGCAAACACTTCCAGTGGTAAAAGCTGGGGTGTTTCCGCGGTCGGAGGCCGCAACTCTCAAGTCATCGAAATTGTGGGGGATGATTCAAGTTTATAGTCTTAAAGATAATATTCGTCTTGGAATCGGGATCGGTCCTGATGGAAACCAGCTTAATAGAGCCTTTGCGGATGAGCTACTGGAGATTGGCGAGGGTACAAGGCAGACGAGGATTTCGGAGCGAATTAGCCTAGGAAACATACCGGTGAACTTCCAGGCAAAAGCCAAGTTATGTTACAACCTAGCAGTAAAGCATGTGTACCAGTCACTAGATCAGAAGACTAACGCGGATTGGACTACTTATGCGAAATACTTGGCCGAGAGAATTATTCTAACAACTTTGAACAAGGATGCATGTAAAGTTAATCGTGCCATGTTGCGAAATCTTCGAACCGAGATGATAACATCGATATCCGTGAACAGAGCCGACGACGAAGCTGAGAGGACGCTACCAATCGAAGCCTTGGATCAAGTAGATTTTGCAGGATTCCCAAATCATCGGCTAGAACTGAAGGTCGGGGCTCCAATAGTTTTACTTCGAAATTTAAGTATTCAGCAGGGGCTGTGTAACGGGACGCGTTTGGTGATTGAAAGACTGAGTCCTAGGGCCATTAAAGGACGAATCTTGACCGGTCCATTCAAAAACAGCGAGGTTTTGATACCAAAGATTAGCTTATTTCACGAGGGCGACGCGATGGTGAAGTTTTCTTTTTACAGGTACCAATTTCCAGTAGCACTGAGTTTCGCAATGACAATAAACAAATGTCAAGGCCAAAGTATGGGGCGCGTCGCGTTGGTCCTAGAAAACCAACCCTTTGCCCATGGACAATTATACGTAGGTTTGTCCCGGGTGAGGAATGCCACAGATCTTTTGGTTACGCAAGTTGGAGACAATGGAACGGTAACAAATGTGGTTTCAAAGGGCTTATTCTTTGAACAAAACAATACTTTGATTGGGCTAGAGGACGTCATGATGAAGGAGCAATAGATGTAATCAATGTATTATTCTTTTATTTTTCTAACTTAAGGTCCAAGGAATAAATTTCATCTGATTCTTATTCAAACGGCGGCGTAGCCGCCCCGAGACACTAGTTAGTGTATATACAAGAAAATATGAAAATTTTGAAGTTGTAGGATGGGAACTCATAAAGTATCCCACACCGACTACAACAGCTTGAGTGCCAGATCCCAGTCTTCAGGCTTGAACGCACTGAAATATGTAATTGGGGTTATGAAGACCGCCAAGAATTGGAAGGACTTTGCAAGAGTCAGCTCAGTTGCAAGCATGATTTGGTTTCAAGACGAGGGGAACTTCATCCATTGGATTGTTGAGGAACAATGTGCTGGTGTGAGTTGACACCACTACCAGATTCTTCAGGGTTGTCTGACATAAACAGCCTGAATCGCAAGGCATTTGAGGTGTTGATGGAGTCATGGCAGACGATGGGATGGCAAGCAATCAAGAGAGCCCATTCATTGCTGGGACAAAAGCAACACTGGGTGAAATTTGAGGAGAAGAGTACCGAGATGGAGATGGAAGAGTGGAAGCAACGGTGCTGGGGTGTTAAAGGAATTGTGGAGGATAACTCGCCGTTGGTCAAGGCATTGGTGCAGGTTAGATGATGAACTTCACATGATTTGTTGTTGTAGTGAATAGTTAGTGTGTATCAATTTGGCAGAGTACCAATGATGCGGAAGCAAAGGAATACTATGGTTGCTTAGTGAAGGAACATGTATAATGTGGCTTGGACAGGCTTATAAGCTCTAGAACCTCATCAGGGGAGCAGGGCACTTTGATTCACCCATGCATTGTTGGCAGACACTCAACGATTGTCACTTGTTGCCTTGGAACAGGTAAAGATGGGTAATCATCATTCCTCTTAGCCAATCTTAGCCAATCTTATCCAAGCCGACCATCTTGGCACTTAGACCATCTCCACCGCGGCTGCTAAACCGCGCTGCTAAACCAGTTATAGCAGCGCAAACTCGATTTAGCAGCTCCACCGGGGCTGCTAAACACTCAAAAATTTTAGCAACCCGCCTCTCGGCTGCTATCCCGATACCAAATATAGAATCAGGATAGCAGCTCAACCTCGCGAGTATCACAAGTTTTTCTTGTGATTCTCCCGGTTGCCACTCCCCACATCCCCCGACACAGAACGACATCCCCAGACTCGGGAGAGTGTACATACACTCTCAACGACCGGTACCGATCACTAGAACATGCAGTACACTCTTAAAGACCGGTATCGGTCACAAGAGAATGTACGCTCCCAAAGACCAGTAACGGTCATAAGGGAGTGTACACTCCCAAAGACTGATACCGGTCAAAAACAATTGTATATGTGCTGTTAAGTACCGGTACCGGTCAGATGAGGTCTATATTCTCTAGCTGATCACTAGAGAAGTGACCGGTACCATTCACTGGAGAGTGTACAATCTCTTTGGATGGTACCGGTCACTGGATAGGGTACACTCTTCTTGGTTGGTACCGGTCACTTGCAAAAGAGGACCGATACCGGCCAATATAGTGTAGTCTTCGCCGACCCGGGGGGGACCTTTCACATTCTCCAGCTGCTATTATAGCAACTTGCGGTGCAAAACCAACTGGACGCAAGCTGCTAAAAGCGCGCCGCAGTTGCCAAACTTTGAGATTTGGCAGCTCGGATAGCAACTTGCGGTGGAGATGGTCTTATGTGCTGTTAGCGGCCATCATTATGCGTTACATGACTCCCAGAGTCAGCATTAATCCGGTTGCAATACCGTAAACATGGCAACATTTTTTTTTCTTCTTTCTTTTTTTTCTGATGAAATTTTCTTGGGTCCCGATTCACCCATGCACTTGCCACAAGTACGCAGCAAGTGCTTACTCTGTCCTGCCCCCACAAGTACGGGTGTGGGTGTGGGTGTCTGATATCTGAGAATTTTCATGCAAGTACTTGTACTTGTCACAAGTGCGCAAGTATGAGGGGCCATCTCTACTTATAGGCTGGGATGGGCAAAATCAGGTCTAACAATGCTAACCGTAGGGGTTAGCACAGCTTAACGTAGGGGAATCCTGCCACATCCACACTAACACTATGTGTGCAGGCCCATGAAAAGTGCCCTCTACACTGGTTAGTGGCATTTTGGCCCTTTAGTGGCCGTTAGCGGCCCGTATTGCAGCGTAGTGTGGCAAAAAGCCGCTAACTCTTTGCTAACACTACATGATTTTGGTGCAAAAATAAATCCGCTACGCTAACACTTCTTGCTCAAGGGTTGGGCATTCTGAATTACAAGAATGTACCTGACTAGGAAGAGCTAGAGATTGGACATTGCCATGGCCTCAGGAATTTGGAAAGTCAGCTTCCCGTAGGTATGAACTAGATCCCCTGTGGGCCTGTGGGTAGGAGAAATTTGCTTGTGCTTGATAGACCGGCTTGGTACCCGTAGAAACTGCTTGGGCAGGCTTTTTACTCGCAAGATCCCTGTGGAGAAGAACTCAGAAGGGCTCCCAACTTGCATGTGACACTTGGAGGCCAGCCTTATGAAGCAATGGCGGTTGGGATCCATGGATGAAAGCTCAGGAGCATGGCTGGCGGTTCAGAACCATGCGTGGCAATCATGACGCTTCATGGCAGTCAACATTTATGACTGGATGGCAATTCAGTGCCAGCATTTTCACAGATTTGGCAGTTCACCACCATATTTTTGGGTTTTGGCAAGTCTGGCAGGTCAGTACCTCCATATACCTGTGTGGTGCAGAGAGGTTATGGATGAGATTGGTTTTTGGATGAAGGACACAATATAAGACTGGATCTATTATGAAAAAGATAATGGAGAGAAATAATAGAGAAAAAGAAATCATGATATGGATCAGTTTATGGTTAATCAATTGGAAATCTTGAGTGAATTTGTTACGTACCAGTCTTTACTTCACATTTTAATGATATAATTGCATGAAGAACAGACTGGTATCTTGGTGGTGATTGTTCTTGATTTTGTTGTTGGGGGAGCGGTGTTGAGGGTTAGTTTAATTGGCACTAGTGACAATTAACACTTTTGCTGCGTGTTCACAATTGTTTCTGACACAGCATAATTTAACAGATACTAGGAAACTCGCGGCTTCGCTGTGGACCAAGGCCCTAACTTTCTCCCCACCCACTGGAAAATGCCATGATACTAATACATTTCTACGATCATAGTTAACAATTTAAAAAAATTCCTGTGCAACCGATTTGGTCCGAAGCTTTCTCGTCTACCTATGGCTATATATCTTGTTCTTCCTCCATGGATGATGTGCTCTCAACTTCTCCGTTCAACCCCTTCCCGTATTTACATTCCTCACATGGTCTATTGATCTTTTCTGGTAGAACATCAACGCTGATGTGAGGTAGTGTTCTTCCGAATTCAATACTTGTTGTCCCCTGTTATCCATTTACTGTATACATTTTCCACCTCTAGAAGTCTTAATTTAGGCTCACTTAAGGGAGCAATTGACACATCCTTGCCTTGGTTCATTACCATAAGAAAACAATTATTTCACTGGTTTGAGTTCAAGGCAATTTATTTGTTTGTCTGGGGTATCAAAAAGTGTAAAAACATCCATCATTATGAGTGATCATTTTCAATCGTATGTGCAGGTCTTGAAGACTAATATTTGAATGGATTGGCTTCCGAGCTAATTGTGACTTTCAAAAGCTAGAATTCCCCTACTTTGTCACACCTTTCTGCGTCACCATCTAGTATACATGTTGTGTGACTAGGGCATAGCCATGTCACGCTCGTCCATGGCCGCGGCCTACTAGCTGGCTCAGACTGAGTCCGTTGCGCACAGACGCTGTAAGACTCAAAAGTGGTTATGAAAACCCTTTTGCTGAATGGAGAAGGGGATGATGGAGTTGCAAGCTCTGCCCTTCTATGCTATCAGAACAACAAGACCACCAAGCTTAGCTTGGCAGTTATATTTATCGTGATAGAGGATAGTTCAAGATGAAGCTTCCGAGTGATGTGTATAAGGTCTGAAGTTATAAATGAGTGATGATTATATTGATGAAGATGTTGTTCAAAGCTTTAAAACCAAGGCTTGGAGCTCTGGGAGCACTATGCTTCAACCAGTAATGGTATATGAGGCAGGTTATGGGCACTTGGCACTTGTTATGATGATGAAAGTGTTATGATTGTATTTCAATATAATGTATTGTTATGGCTGTCACTTGTATATAATCTGTAAGGGTGGTTGAGATGATCTGGTCCACTGGTGGGATGATGGAGGGAACAACTGGCAGGCAGAGGCCTCCTTATATAGACAAATGTGAGGGATTTTAGCCCCAGGGCACAGGCTTTTGAGGCATTTTAGCTGGCCTGAAGATCCAATGAGGGATTTTAGCTAGTCTAGTACATGCAGGTGAGGGAATTTGGCTGGTGAGAGCACTGCCTTGAGGGAATTTGGCTAGCCTACAAGGTCCTACTACAAAGGAATGCATGTGCACCTACAAAGGAATTCAATATGCACTATGTGCCAATAAAGGAACTCAATACAACACAAAGGAATTCAATATTCAATATGCATCCAGTATTCAAAACAAGCCATACTGAGAGTAAAGAATCCAAAAGATATCCCGTGACAGGTTGAAATCTGTGTAACTTCTAAACTATGAGAGATATGGGGTCAGTTGTAGTGGGTGACTAGGGGTAATTTTACCTGAGAAATCCATTTCTGATGTTATTTTTACCATATATATAATATATAAAGAGATAATAATAAATTTTTATATTTTTCTGCGTAGAAACACAGTATTATTTACCACATCCTCCCCCAACTTATTGGCTGTCCCCAGTCAATTCTGATTTTGACTGTGTTTTGGAGCTAATCTTACAGAGAAAAAGAAAACAACTTTGAAAGAAACCCAGCCTTCTGTGTATGTTATTGGCTTGAGTGGTGTTGAGTTGTAGAATGGCCAGAGGAAAATTTGACTGTAGAAAAATATGTTAGAAATTTTTGATTTGTCAAGCTTTTGTCATGGATGTAAAAATTTTCATTTTCTGACTTGTCCAGGTTAGCAGTTGATGGTAGGAGTCCTTCCCAACTTATACTACAGTGAAGGTTGAATGCCAAGTCAATTCGAAATTCTGTTCGCTCGTGCCCTGTCCAAGATGTATCAGTCCTGTCACAGATGTGACAGGACCCAATCGGCGATAATCGTGCCCTCTCCGCTGTAGATCCACCTCTCTGTGGGTATCCTTCACTATTTGTCGATCCGTCACCGTCTCTCTCTCTGCTGGAACTCAACCGACCGCCTCGTTCGACCCATCATGTCCTAAATCTCGAAATCTGGCCACCACCCTATCTCGAATTCGACCTTGCGAATCGACCGATGGTTTATCCATCTGGACAAGTAAGTGACTTCTGTTTCTTTTTCTCCGCATTCTTTTAGACTCATTCAGTTGACAGCTTCTCTGATCCAAACAGGTCTCATGTATTCGTATCCAATCTTCTCCAGCCACTCGGCTGACTCCGTTTCTTCGATCTTGCTTTAATTCTGGCGCGATTCGACCAACCCGCGACTCCGTTAATCCATTTTCAATTCAATCCTGCCACCGCCTCTGTTATGACTTGACCAATACCGCAAGTCAATCTCGACCTCCATCTCGGAACTCGAACGATGGTTTACCCATCTCAACAAGTAAGTGGCTCTTTTTCTTCTTTTCTTCTAGCCCGTATCCTAGCTGACATCCTTTTGAACCAAAACAACAGGCAGATATACGACTCCGCTCTTCATCCGGTACTAGACCCCTGCTCGCACCGTATCTTGATCCGATTCCATCACAACTCGTCCGATGCAATCGCCTCTCTTGCGCAACACGTTTTGTTTCTTCCTAGCAGAAGAACCACATCCTCTAGACACTGATTCCTCCCCCCACTTGTTCCAGATTATCGATTCTTCGCTCGTCCGACAATCATCGACCAACTTCTCAGCTCTTCACTCGTCTCACAATCCTTGCCTCGTCCATAAATAGCGGTATCGCTTCTTTGTTTTCAGTCTCTCCTCACCAGCTCACTATCTCTGCTAGTTATATCCACTCCATTTCCAAACACCTGCGCTTCCATCAAGTCGTTTCTTCACTTCTACTTCTTCTTTCACTTGATTATTGGTTGATGATCATGATTGAACTTCCTTCGCTCGACCGATCCCAACTTAACGGTCTTGCCTCGTTTTTAGTACCCTTCCCTTACGTCTAGATATAAGCAAACCCGCTCGGACTCGTTGCCAGGTGAGTTCAGTCGCATTGTTGTGTTAGTTTTCACCTATAAGTACCAGCACTCCACCATCCAGAACTACTCTTTTCCATTGTCTTCTAGATTGACTTGCAAGCCGTTCCAAGATATTTAGATCGCCACTAGTTCACAGAGCTCCCAGGGCTTCGGAACTGGATTTGAAATTGATTACTGAAGATCTTTGCTTGTTTCCATTGGCTGGGTTTTCAGTACTAGATCCCTCTCAATTCTTCTTCCCCAGTATATTATTTTTGTTAGATCTTGTCGGTTGATTATTGATGCTGATTGTTGTTCAGTTTCTGCTGTGATTCTAGATTTAGAGGACTACAGGGAAGTTGATTGCTTGGAATCGGTCGATTTCCATCCTCTTCTTCTTTCTTGTCTATCATGATAATCAATCGCAAATGTTGTCCTATAGATGAATAATCAATCCACGCGAAAAGCTGAAGTCCAAGTAAAGCCAGAGGTTTTCGGCAAGTCGCTGCCATCCCAAGGTAATCCCAAAGTCCATCAGAGATCAATCGCGATCAGTTCCTCCTTTCCTAGATCCAAGTCGTTGCTCCAAGCTAAATCCAGAGGGTTTGACCAAGTCATCCAAGAGTATCCAAAGTCCTCAATTGCGCCGGGTCCTCTTCATCGGTATCCCTTTTTTATTCTAGCCGCATCCAGTATTCAAGCCTCCCAGTATTCAGAACTCATTGGCGATTAGATTGTAGAGTGTGTAGGTGTTTTCTTCGTGCAGAGCATTTCCAAACTACTTCTGATTGCATCCGGTGTTCTAGTCGATGATCCAAGCAAAAAAAAGATAAGGGTCCAAGTGGCTACCGATCTAAAGTGATTCCCTTCAGAGTTGATTCGCGATCAGCCTATAAAGTACTAGAATTCCTTCATGCCCATTCCGCGATCTGTTCACCAATACCGTGATTGATTGGAGAAGGTGATTGAAAAAAAAAAAAAAATTCAAGGAAGATGCTAAGCTACACCCCTCCCCCAACTTATGAGGTTGTCCTCAACCTTTTAGAAGATTGTGTTTTTGCAGTGAGTCTAAGAGTAAGTGATTGAAAAAAAGTAAGTGATTTGAATGATTTAGAGAATAAAGAAAAATTGAGCAGAGAGATGAAGAGATGAGTGTCTCTTGGCTGAAAATTGTAGAGATAAGAAAAAAAGAATTGAAGATAGTGAAAATGTGAGTCAAGTATGAAATATTCCTCCCCCAACTAATGAGTTTTTCCTCAACTTTTAACTTAAAAAAACTGCTGAAGGTGATAAGTAAGTGATTGAGAAAATTGATTTATTGAAGGAAGAAGAAAAAAAAAAAAAACCCAGGCAATGATATGAGATGAAAAAGAAGAAATGAAACAGACACTGCATCCAGAAAAGAGTTTGAGATAGTAAAAAATTGATAGAAAGTAAGAAATTGATAAAGAGTAAGGAATTGATCAAAAAGACTTTGAGATAATAAAGAAACTGATAAAGAAATTTGATCCAGAAAAGATTTTTTATACAATAGAGAAACTACGAGAGAACTTCAATCCAGAAAAGACTTTGAGATAATAAAGAAACCTAAAGAAACTGATATAGAAATTCAATCCAGAAATAAAACTTTGAGATAATGAAGAAACCTAAAGAAACTGATATAGAAATTTATAAAACCTGGATATAAGATAAAAAGTATGTAAAGGTTTCTTTTGCTAAAAGAAACTTAAGGATAATGAGATGGGGTAAATTGGGGACATTGATAATGTGAGTGAAGTATGGAATTTTCCTCCCCCAACTTTAAAAATTTATGTCTACTAGTGGTGTTTTTATTTTGCAAGTTGATGATTTAGCTGATTGATTTGTGCTATTTTATGGATTTTTTAGACTTGAAGCAAGTGTTCTACTGATTAATTGAGGGGATATCAGAACTAGGGGAGGGAGGAAGGGTTTAAATGAGTGAATTTTAAAGGAATGTGAGCTCCTCCCCCAACTTTTCAAAATAATTAAGAGACATTTTTTTTAAAAATTATTTGATACTCCTTCAATTTATTTTCCCTGAGGTTGATTATTTGCTTTCAAGGTCCATATTTCTTGAGTGTTCTTCTTGTTTAGTACAGATTGAGAGTTTTTGAAATCCAAGGTTCTTCAGACTTCTTCTTCCAATTGGAGTGTCTTATATAACAACTAATTAAACTAAATGTTCTCATTTTTATCAGATTTAAATGAATGTGGCTTTTAAAGTGAGTGTTTGTTGATGCAGTTTTTCCTAATGCTTAGGAGGCTTTGCTTTTTTTACAACTTTAATTCCCACCAGGTTTTGATCATCATCAATTTTTCATTTTTTCTAACACCATTGTACATTCCTTCATTCATAACAAATAGTCTAATCTTCAACACCATCCTCTGATCTTATTCCATTTACGTCAATCCGTCCAGCTGTTTGGTACGCCATCGTTGATTCTTCCATCCACAAAATTTGACCACGAAATTGCTTATGAAACGTCATAAAATGATTTGCATCATAGAAGAGGCTAGGTTCCGCAAGGATTTGAGTTGGCCATTGACTTTTGGTATACAAGTGGCATCGTAGTTCCGAATTTGAATTGAAAGCTGAAGATAATCTTAAAGGTTGATCAAAAAATTGGTTCCTAAAAGGGGTTAATGGTGCAAATCCGTCTTCCAAATCTGGTGTACTGAACGGTAGACTCATGTTGATTTTGATTGATTTTCCTAGTTTTCCTTACTTGACGCTCCTTCGATACCTAAACAAACGGTTGCTCTGAAAAAGAAACAAATAATACTTTGGTCGCTGGTTTCTTTACCAGGGCAAGCTTATAGTCTTCTTTAAAAATAATAGATCAGTTAACACTGGGAAGTTCTTCTTTTACAGAACCTACTTATCCAAATTCCTCGGGTACCTTTGCCCTTCTTTTGGTATATAAGCAGCTGCTTTCTTTGAATAGTTCCTGAGTTGTCTTCCAACAGTATCCTAGTTATCCAGATCCTTTGGTCTCTTGCCTTCTTCTGGTCAATAACTGGCTGTCTTCTTCGAGTCCTCGTTTCAGTCGATTCCTACGCTTTCTTTTCAGAGGTTGGTTGTTGGTGTCGTTGAATTGTTTCTTGAAGTTTGACTAGTCGATCCACAGAATAACTGAATATGCCGCGGAGTAGTCGCAAATTTCTTGATGGATTCGTTCCGTTTTCCTGCTTAAAGTAACGATTCTCTGTTGATGTCTTCTTGATTATCTTCTTGTTTCGTTTAAAATTGGTCACACGATGTCAATCGGAAGTTTTATCCTATCACGTTGGGGACTCCCTTGTAAGACTCAAAAGTGGTTATGAAAACCCTTTTGCTGAATGGAGAAGGGGATGATGGAGTTGCAAGCTCTGCCCTTCTATGCTATCAGAACAACAAGACCACCAAGCTTAGCTTGGCAGTTATATTTATCGTGATAGAGGATAGTTCAAGATGAAGCTTCCGAGTGATGTGTATAAGGTCTGAAGTTATAAATGAGTGATGATTATATTGATGAAGATGTTGTTCAAAGCTTTAAAACCAAGGCTTGGAGCTCTGGGAGCACTATGCTTCAACCAGTAATGGTATATGAGGCAGGTTATGGGCACTTGGCACTTGTTATGATGATGAAAGTGTTATGATTGTATTTCAATATAATGTATTGTTATGGCTGTCACTTGTATATAATCTGTAAGGGTGGTTGAGATGATCTGGTCCACTGGTGGGATGATGGAGGGAACAACTGGCAGGCAGAGGCCTCCTTATATAGACAAATGTGAGGGATTTTAGCCCCAGGGCACAGGCTTTTGAGGCATTTTAGCTGGCCTGAAGATCCAATGAGGGATTTTAGCTAGTCTAGTACATGCAGGTGAGGGAATTTGGCTGGTGAGAGCACTGCCTTGAGGGAATTTGGCTAGCCTACAAGGTCCTACTACAAAGGAATGCATGTGCACCTACAAAGGAATTCAATATGCACTATGTGCCAATAAAGGAACTCAATACAACACAAAGGAATTCAATATTCAATATGCATCCAGTATTCAAAACAAGCCATACTGAGAGTAAAGAATCCAAAAGATATCCCGTGACAGGTTGAAATCTGTGTAACTTCTAAACTATGAGAGATATGGGGTCAGTTGTAGTGGGTGACTAGGGGTAATTTTACCTGAGAAATCCATTTCTGATGTTATTTTTACCATATATATAATATATAAAGAGATAATAATAAATTTTTATATTTTTCTGCGTAGAAACACAGTATTATTTACCACAACGCCCTAGAGACCACCGCGCTTCACATACTCTTTGATCGTCGATCCGGGATAAAGAGGAGCGCCCCCAAGATCACTCTTCCTCTATCCCCTCGACAATCTCCCCAGCTAGTTGACTAGACCTTCCCTTCTTTCGCTCTTCCCGACACCTTTCCCCCCACATTTTTTGCGCTATCAGACGTGTCCAAACACGCTAAACACATCTACCCAACCTTTTTTCCCTTAAAGCAAGACGCCCATCAACGCTCCTCCTGAAGAAATCATTACCAGGCCGGAAATAGGTTTTTACGTGCTCAAACAGCATTCTGCCAGGTAGATACTCCCTGATGTTTCCATGAATTCACATAAACTGGAAAACAAAACACCGTTATTTCTTCCCAGAGTTAACCTTTATGAACATCGTTCTTTCTTCCAGGAGTTAATTTCCCTGACGACAAACCCTTCTGCGAACGCCGCTGACGACAAACCCTTCTGCGAACGCCGGTTGACTACTCCAGGCGGTATCCCCTGACGCAAATTTATACTCACCGGAAGTAAGCAACAATACAGTTATATATCCATCACCAAAAGTAAGCAACATTACAGATACAGATCCACTGGTCTAGCACAAGCCTGATAACTGTATTCTACCCATAATAACAGTAATGGAGAACACGCAACAAAAGATAACACGCTCTAAGACTGGAACCCGTAAAGAGGCAGATCCAGCATCGCAAACTGCAACGCAAAGCGCAACTTTAAACCTACCCAACGCAATAGATCAAGGCAGATCAGCGACCAAAGGTCCGCCATCCAAGGAAGTGCCATCCAAAGATATACTCCCCCATGGGGGAAGCGCGGCGGAGCTACCGTCAAGCGATGCCCACGATAGCGATGGAGAAGAATCTCTCGATTTAATAACTAAAGTTCCGCGTAAGTAAAAAAAAAAAAAAAAAAAAAAAAAAAAATCCAGTAAATACACAAGCCTAAGTCCTGCCCGATTTGTTAGTCTTGACTGCAGAGACCGTGAAAGAAGTTATCGATACGACCTCCGTGCCACCTGAGGCAAGCGTTGGGGATCAGAGATCACACGTATGGGAGAAGATTAAAGAAGCGCAAACGGCAGGCGACGCCATCCTCACTAAAATCCTGCTGGCAGCGTATAAAGATCTAGACGACTTAGCAGATACGCTAACGCCGCCGAAGATAACACGCTCATCGTCCGCCCTGCCGGTTCTGTCAACGGTTGAATCAAAGACCGAGATTGCAACTTCAGCCACAGTCACAGAACTTGAAGACAACTTGGTATACGCGGTGGGGACGGTTACCAGTCATCAAGATATCGGCTTCACGCCGTACTTTGACGAGAACATCAGGAAGTTAAAAGCACCGCTACCGTTGACGATCTTCGACAGAGAATGGCAAAAGAAGGCCATTGCAGCGCACTTGACGATCAAACCATCGAAATCGTCTGAAGACAAAGCGTACCGCGGTCTTGCCTACCACGATGAGTGGACGCAATCCCACTCGTCATGGACAAACAATCATCGTTCTTTCTACATTACCTTGCAAGACGTTTACAACAAGAAACTCTTCGCAGAAAAACTCAGAATACACAAGGAGAATTGCGACGAAATAGCGGATGTATACGGTTTCATGACGGCATTCAGATACGACATGCAAACACGCATGAACGCCTTTGCTCACCGAGTACCGTCGAAAGACGGAGCCGCGATCCCAGACATCTCCGTGAAACAGATGGTGGTTGTAGAGCAATGCTACAGCACAGTGCGATCGTTCGGCGAAGCAAGCTGGAAAGACAATAATTACGCTCCAGGTTTCTCGCACGCTGGTTATGACCCAGATACAGGTTTAAGAAGGCCAGATTTCCACAAATCGGCCTCTTATCAATCAACCTTCAACAAAGAAAAACAACACCAGCCGAACCATCAAGAAAGAAGACGAGAAAAGCGCTGGTTCAATGAGAACGCACAACACAATACAAGCAATAAACCCTACGGGTTTGAAAACAAACATCATTACCAAAATTTCAACAACAACCATAACCAGTTCGACTACGTCAACTACAACCAACATCCTTACAACACACAGCACCAGCATCCTTACAACACACATCCTTATAACGCCCCTTACCAAAACAACCAAGGCGGCTCTAATCCAAACCGAGGTTTTGTTGGCGGTAGCAAGCGGTTCAAAGGAGCTAACTCTGGTTTTGAGTCAGGGGGGAGAGGCGGAGGCAGTAAAGATGAACAAGATAACAATAAACAGTAGGTGTAGACAGTGATTTAAGCAGTTTACCGTAAAGAGCATGTTGCATCTTGATTTATTGTAATTCTTTTCCCTTTCGCTTTTTGTTTTTATCGCTTTTGTTTTCAGAGTAATTTGGCCTACGGGCGTAAAGTGTGAAATGGATGTGCCGAAATGGCAGCTAGCACTGAAAAGTGCTGGCCTGCTACCAAGTTTAAACCATGTGTTGGACGGGTTTAAGTTCGGGTTCGATCAAGGAATCCCAAAACACAGGTTGGGAACACTCCGTTGGTTCACGCCTGATAACCACTCATCAGCAGAAAACTCCAGAGAAAAGATACAATCATCAATCAAGGAGGAAGTATCAAACGGGAGAATGTTCGGACCTTTCACACATGAAGAGGTAGCCAGGAAATACGAGTTCTTCCGAACAAGCCCTTTGGGCTCAGTCGTGAATGCAGACGGCAAAATGAGGCCAATTAACAATCTGTCATTTCCCAAGCGGAACAGTGAGACGCCTTCGGTGAACTCTTTCGTAAACAAACTAGATTTTTCGACTACCTGGGATGACTTCAAAATTGTTTCAGAATTTTTCAGAAATAGCGAGTCACAATACGAATTAGCCCTCTTTGATTGGGCCAAGGCGTATAGACAAATTCCCACACTCGAATCGCAGTGGCCATTTTTGATGGTGAAAGATTTAAACGGGGGACTATACATCGATACTAGGATTACGTTTGGGGGAGTAGCGGGTTGTGGTTCCTTTGGAATCCCAGCAGACGCTTGGAAGAAGATCATGGAACATGAGTTCAACGTAGTTAAGGTTTTCCGATGGGTCGACGACAACTTATTTGTCAAAAATTTAAGCTCACTATGCGACATGAAATCAATCACGGCACGGTCGGTCAGTCTAGGCGTAGCCACTAGCGAGGAGAAAAGCACAATGTTCGCCAATGAACAAAAATTCATTGGTTTTGTTTGGAACGGCATAGAGAAAACGGTACGATTAACGGATAAGAAACTCGAGGAGCGGAAAAATCAAATTGCGGTTTTCCTAGAAGAACGAGCTACGTTCACTTTCAACGAAGCTGAAGTTCTTGCAGGACGTTTAAATCATGTATCACTCCTTTTGCCCCAGCTCCGGTGTTACATAAGAAGTGTATACCGCTGGATGAACCAATGGAAGAAGAGATGGGCAAACAGGGAAATACCTCAAGACGTTCGCGATGACCTAAAGTTTTGGACGGATACCTTGAACAACTATCAACATACCAGGCTCTGCCCGCTGACGACACCAATCGAGATCAAATGGGTAGGAGACGCATCAACTAGTTACGGAATTGGCGTTCTGGTGGGAGATAATTGGGCGCAACTAAAACTGAAGCCGGGGTGGGAGCAGGCGGCCCCTCCAAGAAGCATCGCCTGGCTGGAAACAGTAGCAATACGAATCGGGATACTTATGCTGCAGGTGATAAAGCCCGATTTAAAGGGAAATAACTTCATAGTCTATACAGACAACACGACCACACAAAGCACTTTACGTTCAAGGAAATCAAAGGACCACCACTCTAACCTAGAGTGGAAGGAGATCCAACGGTTGCTAATCGAAATGGAGCTAGACATAACCCCTAAAAGGGTCGTCTCGAAGGAAAACACAGCAGACGGGCTGTCTCGGGGCGTTGTTGCACCACACACACCTAGAAACAGGGTAATCTTTCCGATCCCTGCGGATTTGGAAAAATTTATGTATCATAGTTGAATGATCTTTATGGTTTTTCTTATAGTTTTTAAAGGTGCCTGTGCTGTTTAGCCTGTTGTTATTTTCTTCTTCATCCATGCACACCTTTTTCCTAAAACATCGACAACCCTCATACTTTATACAGAAAGCAGTTCTTTACAGTTTTTCCTTTGATAGCAATCCAAGATGATATCTACGTCGACAAACCTGGTTCAATTGAACAAAGTCGATGCTTTCACCAAAGACGGATCCACGCTTCGGCTCCCAACGAGAGCAGATTTGCATATTCTGCACAGCTGGAAAACCTCGACCTTACTAAGTTATAACAGCGCGGTGAAAAAGTTTATGGCTTTCCAGAAATCAGAAAACGTCACGACGTTCTCCTTGCCCATTGATGAAGCGACTCTTGAAAATTTCTGCATTTGGGCCGGCCGAAACTCGGTATCTTCCAATACCGGGAAGATCTCGGCCACATCACTACGGAAATACCTCGCGGGCCTGAAAGCGTGGCATACATACCACAACAAACCCTTCCCAACGTCTAACGAGACAAGAATCAACCTCATATTAAAGGCCTCGTCGCGCGAGGACAAATTCACGACGAGGACAAGCCAAAAAAGACCACTAATGTTTTGGCACATGACGCACCTATGGGTTACATTGAGCGGCGGGGATGATTTTGATAAAGCGGTGTTGGACCTGTTCATCGTTGCTTTTTGGGGCTTGGCACGCTTAGCTGAACTCACGTACTCCTCAGACACGGGCGAAATTAACTTCGCAGAGTCGGTTCTGTCAACCGACGTATTCTTCACGACTTGCGAGCAGGGTGAAGCGGTAACGCTCACGGTACGCAACGCCAAGACCGGCGCACCTGGTGCCCCACAAATAATCACTCTCGGCGAGCAACGGCACGCACTCTGCCCAGTTCTGGCAATACGACGCCGGATTTCGGCGACAGAGGGGGAACGAACCTCTCTTTTCGGGTATAACACCAACGGCGGACGCCGCCACGTGACTAGGCGGAAGGCAGTTGCCCGCCTAGAAGAAGCGCTAGCATTAGGTGGTTACCACGGCCTACGCGGCCACTCCTTCAGAGTGGGCGGCGCTTCGTTGAGAGCTGCTCTAGGGATGTCGTGGGTCGACCTCTGCACTCTCGGTAGATGGAAATCAGACTGCTATAAATTATATGTTCGGCCCTATAGTGCCATAGAGTTGTCCCAGACGCGGACACTACTTCGAACCTTCAGAAAGAATTGGAAGAAGATTGGTTTTTAGGCCTTTTGTTTAATATTTGGGTTGCAGAGGAGTTGTAGGCTTTTTGGTGTGTATTCTTGTGGAGTTTTGGGGTTTCTCATACATCGTTCAGGCTCCACAAATGAATCCCGATTGTGGGTTGTATGCCTGAGTGCCCCCCCTTCTTCTTTTTCTAGACCATGTCCTACATTCCACAGCCTTTCACCGGCCTGAGGGGGCCTGAGAAAGCTCAACCCCCCTCTTTCTCCCAGACCTAAGCATGGCCTAGGTACAATGCCAGGAGGCAGCAACTTAGGCCATGCGAAGGTGTCGGGAAGGCTAGCGGAGAATGGATGTTGTGTGACTAGGGCATAGCCATGTCACGCTCGTCCATGGCCGCGGCCTACTAGCTGGCTCAGACTGAGTCCGTTGCGCACAGACGCCCTAGAGACCACCGCGCTTCACATACTCTTTGATCGTCGATCCGGGATAAAGAGGAGCGCCCCCAAGATCACTCTTCCTCTATCCCCTCGACAATCTCCCCAGCTAGTTGACTAGACCTTCCCTTCTTTCGCTCTTCCCGACACCTTTCCCCCCACATTTTTTGCGCTCCACCCGCCCGCCCGTAATAGAGGGAGGGAGAGGGGAGAAGAGTTTTGGTTTTCCAAGCCACCCACTTACGGGTGACAAAGGGGAGGGGGAATACACCCACCTACAGCGGTTAAAGAGGGGGTGTTGTATGCCTGAGTGCCCCCCCTTCTTCTTTTTCTAGACCATGTCCTACATTCCACAGCCTTTCACCGGCCTGAGGGGGCCTGAGAAAGCTCAACCCCCCTCTTTCTCCCAGACCTAAGCATGGCCTAGGTACAATGCCAGGAGGCAGCAACTTAGGCCATGCGAAGGTGTCGGGAAGGCTAGCGGAGAATGGACCAGTGACAAATATGTATTTATGTTCTCACCCAGAGTTAGGAGTTAGCCATCCGAGAGCTTTGCTTGCACTTTCAACATTCAAGTTTCTGCGATCAAAAATGAATCATGAAATCCATTTGTAGTTAATTATAAGCCTTTCAAGCCCCTCTTACCATCACAATTCTCATCTGATCAGGCACCTGTGGCCACCACCTTTGTACATACTATATAGAGGGATAGATGGGGTTGTTAATGGTGGGCAGAGGGGGTTGCTTTGCGGGTAATTGAGAAAATCTGGAATCTCCGGAATCCCCAGAGATTCCAGAGACTTGCAAGGCCCAAAAACCTACAAGTCCTCGCTCAAGCGGCTCGGACCACAGTGACTTACATATGTACGACCCCCGGCCTCCCGGGACCCGGTGACAACATTGTTCTTTATGTAGCCACAGAATCCGTAGAGAGAATCCGTAGCCTTCCGGATAACTTCATATCCCGTCTCCGGTAGGAAACTGATCGCAAAGACTACTAATACTGCACGTCGGACCTGCCACCACACAGCAAACAACTTACAGCCAAGACCTGCACACCGGTAGACCTGCACCTATATTTACAGCAATCCAGCTTTTTTCTATCATAGGATCCTGCACATAACTTTGTTCTCAATTGTGTTCAATTTTCAAATTTATTGGCTTGCTTTGCCCCAGTTTAGAGAGATAATTTATGTTCAACATGTGCATGTGTTTGGTTAAATAAATGGTGCAAAAAAACCAATGGAAAACATGACTGGATAAAAAACAAACCAATGAAAGGAAAGTTTACATAACAAGCAAGTGAAAGATCCACGATGAGTGTTTTTATTGCAGAGCCACCAAACAAAAAATATTTTCAAGCAATCTGTCTAAGATAATTCACCTCTGTGCTGACTCAAGCATCTCACGTGTGAGCCGGAGACTCATCTGTGTTTTGACCTTGATCTTGATCTTCTTGGTTGTCTTCAACCTCTTCATCGGTCATCCAATTTCCATCGGCATCTTCTCCATCATCCTGCCCAACCTCCAGAACACCCTCCTCGAGTGCAACATCCACTTCGCCCAGGTTTGTCACAATTGACTCCGCTTGGTCCCGTCGAATTTCATGTCTCATCTTCTGCCATTGCTGTTGTAATTCGCTTCGATTGTTGGCTGGCTGACAGTGGCTATTCAGCCACAGAACATGCGAATGCCACTCGTTCACCAATGTAACATGAGTTGAGCGTTGATGTCGAAGTAATTTCCTAATCACCCGTAACTTATCCCACCGACTCAATCCGTAAAGCTCCAAGTTGTCAATGTAGTCAAGTTCAACATCTTCGGATGCATTTGCTTCGTTCGCCAACAGTGCAATTCCTGCCAAGGTATTAAAAAGAGAACGATGAGACCAAGGTATCCAGAGAGCAGAAGAGAGACAAGAGACTGAGATATGCGTACGTCTGCTAATATAGTTGATACGGTCAGAAATGCGACTATAGTATGCAACTGCCCATCCTGTTGCCCTTGCCAACTCCTGGGCGATGAGTTGAAATTCCTCCTGTACTCGACTGAGAATGAGCACGCAGTTGATTCCAGCTCGTACGTTTGGATCAATCGCCCAAGGTTCCTTGCATTGCATGTACAATCCATCGTTCCAAAAGTGGTGATCCAGAGGCCAATGAGAGAACGTTTTGTATTCGAGAGGGTAGAGTGATGAGTCGCACACCTGCTGATTGGGAAATTTCTCAATAAATTCGCCAAGAAGCTTGTTGAAGCTGTCAAGCAAACTCTTGACCGCTGCTTGTCGATTTTGCATTGCCTTCATAATCTTCTCTTTGAGCTCGGTTCCGAGGCGAGTACCGATTCGCTTTGAATCCAAGTATGGCTGTCGCTCGCCATGTAGTTGAACTGCCTGTATGTACAGCTGGTGCTTAGAATTCCAGAGAAGTAATAGTAGTCGCTGCTCATCGTCTGCAACCAGAAAAATTCCTCAATGTCTTAAGTGGTGATCTGGTTGCAGTATCGAGTCGCAGTATTGAAAAAAAAACTAACCGTTAACTTCACTGGATGGAAGAGCATCACCCAGCTCTTCTTCCACTTTCTTGAGCTCCATCGATACCTTTTCGATCCGATCGAATATTTTGTTTACTTCTTTTGTGGTAAGGAGGTTAAAATTTGGATCCAAAAGGCGCACTCTGTATTGTGTTCATTGTTATTCTCGTTACATACATATTTGCAATCAATCAGGTAAAACGATTCGACTTGCCTTTGGACTTCAAGTGCCTCTCGATGCTCGTACATTTTTATCAGTTTATTTCTCCGCTCTTGCTCTTCATCGGTGTGATCGGATCTGAATGTCTTCTGATGGGCCCATTGCTTCTTGAAAAACGAGACTGTGTAGTTTGCTTTTGAGCGATTGAATGGGTTTGGAGTTGACAAGAGACGCGCAAGTTGATCCTGAGTCTCGCAGCGCCGTTTGACTGCATTTTTAAATTTCTTAGAAAGCCATAAGGCTTTTATGAAATATTCAGCACAAGGCAACAATGCAAAACAAATGGCAAGTAAAAAACTGACACAATTGTCTTATCCCCCGTGTGTTGTGGTGCTTGACGCGATGGGCGATTGCTCCTAAACGATGATTACGGCTAGCATATCTCAATGGGCTCACAAGAGGTGATAAAAATGACCATAATCGCTCAAGACCTTCTCCGTCAGACAATCCCCAGCCTATGTTGAACCTCGGATTGTAATCTAATTGGCACATCCAGTTGTGGACATAGGAGTGGAATATTGATGTTCCAAAGGTGAGTTGAGGTGTGTATTGTGATAGTAGACCACGCTGCATTGCCAAAGGAGTTGGAATAATCAGAATAATTGTTTCCTTCTAATTTGTATCTGAAATAAAAAACTCACCGCTCCAATATATTTGTGGAGGGAGCAACCAATATCATACAAAACCCCAACCGGCCGCCCGACCTCCACCTTTCCAAGAAGTTCTTTGAGTAATGCTAAAGGCAGGGACCTCTGCTCACCTGATTTGTATATGTTGCACATAGAGATTGCAGCATCGTGACGGCAGCAGCATCCCATGATTCCGGTGTCATCGCACCCCTTCCAGGTTGATTCATTTCTCTTGTCATCAGCTGCCTTATGAGCATCTGCGCATCGATCGGCCTAGGTATTCAATGAATCATACAAAAATATACCTTGAATTTAGCACAACATTTGATCGATCTCACAAAATCAAGGGACCTACCTGATTGGCTGGTTTGTTCAAAAGCTCCATGTTTCGTATTTCACGTGTCATCTTGTCGCTCGCCCCTTCAGGTAAGAATATGTGTGGCGAGCAGAGGGCCTCGTAATCTCGACTTGCTTGTGAGTTATGTCTGTGCTGGAAATTTCCATCCAGGCAGACAATCAGTCGATCCCGTGTAGATTCTGGGTAATCAGCCGAATTGGATGGTTGGGGGCCAAAGCAGGCTGGACAGGTTCGGCCAGCTAATATCTCTTGGTCGTTAAGTTGCAAGACTGCTTCAATCATTACAGCTGTTTTTTCCTCCAGTAATCGGAACAGATCTACGGCGGCCGAGAAAGGCTTGCGCATATCGCGGGCCTGAAAAGATTTGTTAAAAATGATTGTGATTTTGAAGCGGTATGGAATCCAGGACATACATGTGATTGGTTTTTAGCACACAGGCGTTCCGAGCGTGGCTCAAGCCATTGGGTAAGTGCCAGAGTGAATGGGAGCATACCGATGTGGCAATGGTTCCACAATTCGTTGTGTAACGTTAGAAGAGGGAGGGAGAAGGCGGTCTGTGGGGTCATTGGTGATCCTGCAATAAACCCTTGCCTCAAGAGCCGAACCGCATCAAGCTGACAATGACAAAAGTCTGTCTTGGTGCGTTTTTGCCCTGTTATAAAAAATTCAGCTAGTTAGTATTGATACGATCTTTGTTAATGAAAATGATGGTGAGATTTTTTGGACATTCACCGTATATATCAACCAAGTCTACCAGTCGAGTGGTCCTATGGTTCAGGGGACACACACATTGAGCGTTGAATGTTTGGTAAGCGTTAGAAGCAGCCCAGTTCTTTGTGTGGAGTTGCAGAATGATGTACTGGGGATGCATCTGTTTGATCAAGGCAATCCAGTTGTAGTCTTTCGCTAGTATTCGATAACGCTCCCGAGCCGATTCGATTTCTCCATTGATCTGTTCACTTTCATCCTCGGGAGGCAGAGTTATCCAGTTGATGTGTTCATCATCCACGGAGTCATCTGAATGATCATTGTTATCTTGCCAATCATCTGGGTTGTCATCATAAGAGGGTTCATGGGAGTTGTTCTCGTGTCGTTCACTTGGGCCAGGATTTTGCTGCGAGTGGGCTGTAGAGTATGGACGTGTACGGAGTCGATGGAAGGCAATTTCGTTAAATGTTGAATTCGTCTGGCGTCGTAATCGTTGAGAAAGGCTTCCACCATCTTTCTTAGAGGTTTTCCATATGGCCATTCTGATACACCGGTGTTCTTATAGGTCTGATTGAAACTAGTTGCAGTAGTTCCGGCTAGCCCAACGAATTAGGGGGGCCCGACAAATTAGGGGGTTGTTGTTAAGCTAGTAGTTCCGGTTCTTCCTTAAACTGAGCCTAACTGAGGATTGTACTTTAGAGATGAGCTGAATGCAATGAGATGAGATTTAGACATGAATTGACCAGAATGAGCATGCCCCTATTGCAAAAATAAAAAGACATAAAGCAATTTCAAGACAAGAACAGACAACCCAACCTGATTCAAAGATACAGATTTTGGGCATTAGAACTTGAAGCAGGAAGTGGTATTTCCATGACCACTAACAATCTTCTGAATACCCAGGCTTTCAATACCCAAGCTAAACTGAACCTTCCAAAGCTGTTATTGCTTTTTCATATGTTCCATGAACAAGTAATATAAAATTTTGAATGATAAGTGGAGCTTTGGTATTGAAGAGCTGACTAGTTTTCATCTGAAAATGTGTTTTTTTTTTTTCAGAAACATACATATTTCAGCTGACTAATAGCCATTTTTTCAATACCCAAGCTGAATTTCTTATTAACTCCATGAGCAGCTGATATTGACTTTTGCATTATCACTGTAGTTTGGGTATGGAATGATCATAAAAATATGAGTGCTTGTGAAAAACATTGATTTCAGTTGACCACTGTTGATTTCTTTAATATGCAAGCTGAAATGTTCATTCAAAATCTGGTATCATTTTTTATGAACCCTGTGAACAAAAAATATTGCATTTGTAATGATAAATGCAGTGTGAGTATTGAACAAATGACTGTTGTTCATAGAAATAAGGGTGTTCCTGAAGACATCAATATTTCAGTTGACCACTGCATCACACCACTAGCCATATCCTTAATCCAAGCAACATTTATGATTCAAAGTCAGGTGTTATTTGTTTGTAGCAAGCTGGTATTATTTGTGGTGTGGATGAACAATGTGAACAAATAATGAAATGACTAGGGATCATCTGAAAGGTGTATTTTTGTGAAAAACATACATATTTTCAGTGGACCACTGGTCAGTCCTTCAATATTAATCATTCCAAAGCTGATATAAATTTCATATTATGCCTATGAATAATTCATATCCCACTTAAAATGATCAATCTGGATTGGTTATTGAGTGACTAATGGTCAACTAGAACATGTATGTTTATGTAACATAGAGCTAATACACAAATGATACTAAATTTGAAATTAACATAGCATGGGTATTGAAGAAATAACTATTTGTCAACTGCAATATTTATGTTCTTCACAAGCACTCATGTTTCCATGACCCATGTCCAATAGTTATTTATTCAATGCCCATAGTACAATTCAAAATTTGATTTTGGTTATTCATCCGTTTACTAAGAAAACAATGCCAAATTTTGAATACCAACTCAGCTGGCTTATGGAAGAAATGACTAGCCTAGTGGAAGAAATGACCAGTGCTTAACTGAAAATATGTATGTTTTTCAGAAGCACTCATATTTCCATGATCAATGGCCATTTCTAGTATAACTACAGTGTTGGAGAAGCTAGAGGCAGGCTACCTGATAGCCACACATTGATTTGATCAAATCTTTTATTGGCAACTTTGGATCCAACAAAAATATCATGGTTTTGTTGTACCAAGGTACAAGATGTGAATGATCATGGCATGATTTTCCTTCAAATTCTTCAGTAGGGAATATGATCACATTGCCACCGCAATAACAACTACTTTCCAATCTTCAATTCACCACATCTTCTCATTCAAAAAGTTTTTTTCTCAAAACAATTGCAAGATATTGGTTGAGGAAATGCAAGACTTATGGCATAAATCTCCTATAATGCCACAATATTACTCCTACTGACAGATTTGCAAGCACCCACATCAATTCATTGAAAATCCATCTTCAGTCACTTAATACCTCCATGATATGATTGGATCCATAATGTTATTGGAGACTTCTGGTCATCATACTCACCATCCACAGGTTTCTGTAACATCTTTATGACCTTTGATTTATCCTCAATTCATGCAAAACACATAATGTTAATCACTACATTTTTCAATTTGTCACTATCAGCCACACCTAGGTGAGAGCTCACAACAGGTGTCACAGTGAGAAACAAGAGTATGGAAATTTTTTATTTTTCTAAAAAGAAACAAGAGTATGTAAATTTTTTATTTTTCTAAAAAGAAACAAGAGTATGGAAATTTTTTATTTTTCTAAAAATGCAGGCAAGATTTGATTAGAAACTAGCAACCCATTTGAAACAAAGAAAACACACACATTCAATCTCTACCTTCTCCTACTGGGCCTCCACTCCTGATGCAACCTCCTCCCCATCCTCCTGGTCAGAAGCATCATTAACACTAATAGTTGGATCACCGCCTAGTATTGAGTCTTGAGCCAAATTGCTAATGTGAGTGTTGCTTCCAGTGCGTTTGCGCTTCTTGCTTGGCTTTGTTGAAGCAGTTGCGTTTGTTTTAAGAGCTCCTGGACTAGTACAAAAACCAACAGAGACTCTTGTAAGATTTGTATGTTCACTACTGTCTGCAATGGCACATCCCACAGATGATCTGCCATTGGAGGCCGAAATGGTTACAAGTTCAACCAAGTCTTCCTCCAAAGCTGCAACAACTAACTGTCCTTGTTTGTCTTTCATATCTCCTGGCCGTTTGCAGAAGTGGAGCGGGGTGACGCCTAGGTTGTTTTCCCGCACTTGTAATGAAACCCCCAATTTAGTGAGTGTATGTTGAGTATTTGTTCCCGGCCAACCACGTCCATAGCCACCAGGAACAGCCAAATCTGATGATAGGAAGGAAGAGAGGGTTGGAACATCAGTGAATCTGAGGAAGACATTAAGCAAAGAACAAGGATTTCACACCAATTGCTTTATTGAGCTTTCCCCGAATGAATTCAGTATTCGATTGGATACTGCCCTTGTCGTGCTTCGTAATTATTTCTCTCGGCTTTTTCTTCTTCTCTGGTATCGCTAGGGTGGGTTCAGTGCCGGATATGGTCTTCATGGCTCTGTGGCCTTTGATCAAGTCGGAAAATAGTTGGCAGGGATCGTCCTTGGTCGCATACATGTCAAGAAACATCTCGCCCAAGTGAGTTCCTCCTACGAACATGTCAGCTTTGTCCTTTCCACGTGAGCCAAGAACTAGGAATCCTTCAAGTCCAGAACTTCGACTGAGTTGCCTTAACTGAACACAAGAGTTTCAAAAAACAAATAAATTGGGATCAGTGAATGGGAATTTGTTGGTGCCAACTTTCCAAGAGATAACTTACATCAGCAACAAGTTTATTGGCCCATTTATCCGAGTCAAAAGATGCTGTTCCTTTACGCTTTCGATTGGTTGAATCATCGACAGATTTTTCAGCTCCCCGTGTGATTTCTTCCAGGAAAGCAGGGTCCTTCCATTTCTCTTGAGTTTCAAGATCAAGTAAGTTCCACAGTCGGCCCAATTCACGTGCTCGGTTGTTAGGAGGCATAGATTCTGTGGAATGCAAAAATAGTTGTTGATGAGATTTGTTGCAAATAAAGAGAGATGAGAGAGCAGGAGATCTTAAAGTTGACTCACTATCATTAAATATCTTACTTGCTTCTGGATCGTATCTGGCAAAATTGTTGTAATTGCTTGGACCCCTTGGATTGGATCCCTCACCAACGTAATGCAGACATGGTTCAATAGCTAGCTTTCTTTTGTATGCAATGATATAAAGCTGACGTTGGTATTCCATGTAAGCAGCATTCAGTTCGACAGTATCATCCGCAGAGAGTCGTATATAGGTCGAGTCTTCAGCTACAAGTTGAATCAACTCGTCAAGCGCCTTGGTCTTTGCCTGTTCAACAAGCTGGGGAGACCACTGAGAGTGTTTTGGGGGCTTTGGCTTTTTTGGATGGAGAGCGGGTTCTTTGAGGGTGGTGTCGTTTGGAGCTTCGGTCTCAGGGGAAATGGGTGGGGCTGGTGGGCTTGGGAGGGGAGCTGGTGGGCTTGGAATAGGAGCCGGTGGGTTTGGAAGGACCAGACCTTTCTTGACAGGTTTCTTGCGCTGGCGTTTGGGCTTTGACGATGGGACAGGCGTCGGGTTTTTCACGATAGCGCCATTGTTGATAACCTGACTGTTAGCATCAAACTGACCTGTAGCGTCAAGCTGACCATCGGCAATGAGCTGTCCATTGACGATGAGCTGTCCATCAGCAACGAGCTGGCCATTGGCGACGAGCTGACCATTGGCGACGAGCTGACCATTGGCGACGAGCTGACCATTGGCGACGAGCTGACCATTGGCAACGTGATGACTGCTGGCGAAGAGCTGACCATCAGCAGCACGCTGACCATTGACAATGAGCTGGCCATCGGTGACAAGCGGGCCGTTCACAAGGATCTGAGTGTTGGATGCAAGCTGACCATTGGTGACCAATTGAGCTTTGGGAGACAGTCGAATTTGATTATTGGCAGGAAGCTGGGTGTTGGTGACAAGCTGACCATGGAGATACGAGTCGTTTGTGTAGCGATTCAAGCCATCTTCAGTGTATTCTAGCGGATTATATTGGCTTCCATTCAATTCAAAATCGGTATTGGTGTAGGAGGAAGTTAATGCGGTGAAATCTGAGTCCAAACCCAGCGACGACGGGCAGTCCAAGCCAAAGGAGTTCGTAGCATGAGGAAGCAGCATTGTGCCAGAGTAATTGATGTTTTGAGGGGTAAGGGAGGTAACGTGGAAACTTCGATATCGTAGTTAAGACCGTAATGAAACGCCGATGTTACCTGAGGTACAATGAGAAGGGTGTTGGGTGTTAAATTTTGCAAAGAAAGGTTGATTTGACAAAAATGATAATAGGATGAACTTACCGATGTGTTGTCACTGTCTTTGATACAGTTGAACCGTCCAGTACCGAGGTTTGGCCTTGCACAGTCGAAGTCTCGGTCTCCACTCTATTGTTGCGCCAATTTTATTAGGGAGACAGGAATCCGGAAGGCTACGGATTCTCTCTACGGATTCTGTGGCTACATAAAGAACAATGTTGTCACCGGGTCCCGGGAGGCCGGGGGTCGTACATATGTAAGTCACTGTGGTCCGAGCCGCTTGAGCGAGGACTTGCAGGTTTTTGGGCCTTGCAAGTCTCTGGAATCTCTGGGGATTCCGGAGATTCCAGATTTTCTCAATTACCCGCAAAGCAACCCCCTCTGCCCACCATTAACAACCCCATCTATCCCTCTATATAGTATGTACAAAGGTGGTGGCCACAGGTGTGCCTGTGGTTTGGCACGATTTCCTCGCTCTTCCCTTGGCGCGTGCTGTGATTGCAGTCGTGCTGAGCTTCCTCGAGCTCCACCACACACAGTTGTAGTCTTCCATAGCCTACATACATATAACAGGTAAGGTATGTAAAATGCGTACATAAGCAAGCAAAAATCACCACTCTTCTTTTCTAATGGTAGATTGTGGTACACTGTGCCCTTATAGCGCATCAATCCCCCATTTTCTACAGATTTCTTCCTCTTCCTTCTCCCTTGTCACGTCCTCCATAATGTCCGCATGCACACATAACCTGCAGGTAGGTCAATGAACTTTAAAATTCAGCGTAAAAACGTCATTCCGGTTTGATTCCACAAGTCATCCCTGAACTGTAGTAGTGAATAATGAGGGACAACAGATCTCGAGGATGGCCTGACTTGTTATGGTTGTGAGGTACAGACTCAAGTACTCAAGTGCTCCCAATCGTAGTGTCATCTCTAGAAGTGCTGCTGCTTTTCCATCTGTTCCAATCGTTGGCAGTGCAACTCGCGGTCCATGGGCCGCACACTTAATAGTGTTGACGTATCACTCGCTTATTCACTCTTTCCATATATTATCAGCCCACCAGCAGCGTTGCTCCTGCTCTCAGTCCATATTGGAGTCTGCTTTTCTCGAACGTGAATTGATTATCAGAGTACCTCGACTGTTATTTTTTTTTCTTTCATTTTTTGTGATTTGTTCTTTGCACCTTAATTAATTATCGAGCCGCTGGCGGTCATTGTAGTCTCTCCGGCGTATGTTGTATCTAACCGGCTTTCATCTCACATTCTCGCACCAATCTGGATATGTAGGGTCACCAAGCGTCTTACACCAAGACAAGACAAGATCTCAACAATCATACAAGATTGAATGCACCTGCCTGATCCTTTGATCCTTTAATCTCGTTTAGATTTAGATATCCTCGGAGGCTTTCGGCGCGCCTATCAATCACCGCCTGACTGATTTTTTCCCTAGAAAGCTTCAACAGACGCTCTTTCTTTTGCCGGTCTCCCCCAGCCAGTCGGCGTTCCATTGACCCAACGTTACTTGAATTCTGATTAGCTGCAAGAGCCCAGGGTAAGTCAACCTGTACATTTTACTCGGACACTGGCGATGATCACCTTCCTACTTTCCTCAGATGCCGCTGCGTAATCTCAGCGTGAAAGAACGTGACTCGCTTCGGCGGTTCCAGACACGCGTCTCTTGTATTCGATCTCAGTTCTCCCTGCATTGCACGGCATCCTTCAAGTGCAGCGACACCAGTCCCGTGGTTCGTCTGTCTTGACTTCGACTGTTAGGTATGACCCAGTGGCCCATAAAAAACATCTGCCAAGCGTTCATACCCAACGGGCAGGTGGGCATCCTACGCAGTACAATTTAGGATATTTGGCAGAGACCACCCGCATAGAAGAAGCCAAATAGTTTCCTGAACCCCATAACTCTTCCCTACTTTTCTCTTTGCTTCAACCAACCAACTCAAGCCGCCCCCTTCTCGCTCTGGTATGTATGAAGTATGCAGAGATAAACATGCTGAGCTTCAATATCAGAGATCAGTTCCAAACTCCCGATCTGCCTGGCTCATCCATCCTTTTTACATAGGTCATCAGCAGCGACCTACATATCTATTTACTTTTAAATATGCTTTTTTATGTTTTGGATTGAAGATTTTTCTACGTACATATTTAACATAACATCGCCCTATCCGTCGCTCTGATATGGGTTAATGGTCATCCTTCAAAATAGACTCGAATCTCCCATTTATCTTCCGCGAAACGCGCCTTCAACGGTTCGCTTGTGTGTGTTGAGCGGTTTTTCTACCCCGGTTGATCTCCCTCGTACAGAAGTCCAGAACTAGGGCGAAGGCTAACGCTCACGGCCAGTCCCACCTGCGGCTATTTATATTTATTTGTTGTGTGTTCCTCCTCCACACATATCCCACATCCTCCGGCAGCATCCTCCAGCTGCTTCCCTCACTGGAATGTCGGCTTCTCTGTAGGCTCGTATCCTCACTCCAATCACTATCACCGCCTTCAGTCGGTCATTCTCTCCCCCTGCCCGTCATTTATACCATTTGTTAACATATTAACACATCCGCACCGCCTTCGAGGGGAATCTCACCAGATTACACCATCCATTCCATACGTTTTCAAAGGCCCTGCCCTTCCTCTAATTAGTCTTTCTTAGACCATCTCCACCGCGGGGACTAAATCGCGGGACTAAACCAAATTTAGCTACCCAAACCCAATTTAGCTTCACCACCGGAGGTGCTAAATGGGGGGCTAAACTGAGAATATCCCTCTCGGGCCCTATATCGTTCCCACATCTAGGACAGTATAGCTCCTCAAATAGCTACTCTGGTTCACATATCACACATCTCATTTTATGTGATACTCCACCTCATCCTCTACACAACCCCCGACCAATATCCCCTACCAGATATCCATCACATATCGGCCATCCCATATACACAATTCAATACCAACTAAACTCTACACTACACGATGACAAGAAGACCAAGCTGCCCCGTTGACCTGACCACCAATGACGAAGATGATAATGGCGATCAAAATAATGACAATGGCGATAATGGTGATCAAAACAATGACAATGGTGAGCTAATCTTTTTGCATCCATTCAAACTTTCATTATTCTATCTATCTAAATTTTTTCTACTTGTTAAATCAGATAACGCAAATCCAGAAAACGAAGGAAAGAAGAAAGCTCCAAACTACACAGAACCCGAGGACTATGAGCTATGCCGCGCCTGGGTTCAGGTATCCGAAGACCCTGCCGTTGGGACCAATCAAGATGGAGGGACGTTCTGGCAACGAATCAGCACGGTATATCACGAGGCTGTACCGAGACCGATTCGGCCCGTTACCAGCTTGAAAAAACGATGGAGCAATAACGTGCAGCCGCCAATCAATAAGTTTCGTGGTATTGTTCACCAGGTTGAAGCACTCAACCAGAGTGGAGCTTCCACCGAGGATCAGTTGAACCGAGCTCTCCGCCTGTACGCCGCGGATCAACTAACACACTTCAAACATCTGCGATGCTACAACCTTCTCGTTAAAAGCCCCAAGTGGAATTCGTACTGCCGTGATAACGATGCTAAAGAAGCTGCAAAGAAAAAGCGAGCTCGAAGTCCGAGTAGCGAGGCTCCACCATCAAATCAACTGGCATCGACACCAGCACCATCGGATCCTGTCACCGACTTTGAAGGTACTGGCACGGATCCATCACCTATGGAGCGACCTATTGGAAAAAAAAAGGCTAAGACACTCATACAAATCGCAGCCAAAGAGCAAGTTTGGAAGGACGAAGTCGCAAGTGCTCATGGTAAAATTGCCTCTGAATCGAAGCGACTCAACGACATCTTCGATAATGACTCTCAGTCGCTCAAGGCCATCGCGCAGAATAGCACCACTACATCTCAGCTCGCAATAATGAACACAAACCTCGAAGGCCTCGACGATGAGCAAAAGGAATACTTCAAGCTCAAAAGGGCGGCGATTCTCAAATCACTCCGAGAGGAAGCTAATTCAAGCTCCGATTAATTCATCAATTTGGTCGATTTGGTGGTTCGGTCAACTATGTGGTGTTACTATTGGCTCTCTACTGGATTTTTTTTTCTTCATGCTTCTACCCATCAACCGGCTTTCAATCTTTTGTTGTCTTGTTTCATTCTTCTCTCTTATCTTAACCCAATCGGTTTTCTTTTATTTCCTAAGAAATTCATTTTATTTTGATCTTTGAGTTGACAAGTCTACCTTACTTGATGTGACACCGCGCATGATCTCAAACAATGAAAGCAATGAGATTGAATTGAAATAATTTATTGAATTTTGAACTTTATGAGAGTGAAATCAAATCAGTCAAATGTGAAAACAAATCGGTCAAATGAATCGGTCACATATCAGTCGGAGGGACACAGACACAGCAAGATAACCTGAACTTTCATTGAATTTTAAATTTTATCAGAATGAAAAACAACTTGGTCGGAGGGACAAAGACAAAGCAAGATAGAAAGATGAGATGAAAGTGAAAACTAAAGAAAAAAATTCAAGATTCATTATCGCTGTCTTCCTGTCGACCTTTCACCTCCCATTGATGTTTTATCAGATCGGTGCGTAATTGGAAATGTTTGCTGGAATCCCTCATTGATTGATAATTATCGATAAATTCGGCAAAAGAAATCGAACTACCATCTCGCAACACCTCCACTGGAGTGACAACGGCCGCAGGAGATTGGTCGTAGCTGTACTCCAAGTAGGAATCTCGCTCATCCTCCACAATCATGTTGTGGAGGATGATACATGCCTTCATGATAGTCTTGAGGTTGTGATGTTTCCAGCCACGAGCAGGACGGGACACAATGGCGAACCGAGCTTGAAGTACCCCAAAGGCGCGCTCCACGTCTTTGCGTCGGGCCTCTTGCATTTTAACAAAATGTTTTTGTTCGGCTCCCTTTGGCTGCGACATTGTCTTGACAAAAGTTGGCCAATCTGGATAGATGCCGTCAGCAAGGTAGTATCCTTGTTCGTAGTTGTGGCCATTTATTTCGTATTCGCATCGCGGAGCTTCACCGTTCAAGAGATTGGCAAACAGAGGGGAGGTATCAAGCACGTTGATGTTGTTGTGTGAACCTGGCATGCCAAAGTAGGCATGCCAGATCCACATGTCGGTCGATGCAACTGCTTCAAGAATGATTGTCGGCTTCTTTTCTTTTCCTTGGAATTGGCCAGCCCAACCAGATGGGCAATTCTTCCACTGCCAATGCATACAGTCAAGCGATCCTAGCATACCAGGAAATCCTCGTTTGGCACCGTCAGTGAGAAGTCGCTCCAAGTCAGCGGGTGTTGGATGTCGAAGATATTCCTCGGAGTAGATAGAGACGACAGCTGTACAAAATCGGTCCATACATTGTAGAGAGGTTGACTCGGAGAGCTGGAGGTATTCGTCGTTGCAGTCAGCCGCACCCCCGTAGGCAAGCATTCTTAAAGCAGCTGTGATTTTAACAATCGGCCTGATTCCAGGTTTTCCCAACGCATCGGATCGAAGAGTAAAGTAGGTGTCAAAGTTTTCTACTGCCTCGGCGATCTTCAAGAAGAGAGGACGACCCATTCGAAAACGGCGCCGGAAGATATGTTCGTCGTAGAGCGGATGCGAAGAAAAATAATGGCCCATAAGCTTCTTGTAGCTTCCTTCAAAATCGCGGGGCAAATTGGGTTGTTTCCCTGGTTTCGAACCACCATGTGAGGGGAATTCTATTCCGTCTTCGTCGTCCTCGAGTAGCATTGGTGTGACTTGAAGAACCGCATTCATCGTTGATCTTGACCTGGCGACAAGTTGCCTTCGTCGAAGTAGTATTTCTAGTACCGCTGGGTCGATGTCCATGGCAGATGGTGTATATACTTGTAGTGGTGAAGGGATCTATCTGGTATATGAGGGTCGGGGGGATCGAGGGGGATCGAGGGTATGACCTTTCACAATCAAAAGGTGCTACTCTGAGACTTCCCGGTACAAAGAAGCCTTTGGGCGGGGAGCTAAAAATTGCGCCGCAGTTGCGCGAGCTCAAAATTTAGGGACTCGTTTAGTCCCTTGCGGTGGAGATGGTCTTACTCCTCGCCGCTGAGAAAAGACTACGTCTTCTCAACAAATACTCCTCCACTCCCATCGTCCGCAGTTCAACACCCATCTCATTGTCATCCTGACTTGCACACTCACAACCTCTTTCAGCTAGTGATCCTCGGCTGAGAACCGCGTGGCTTTTATTTTTCCCCGGTGTTCTCATTCGTCCCTAGACTAGATATCGGCTCTCCAGACTTCCGCAATCTGAAGCCTGCCAAATTCCCGGCTCCTCACCGGAAGCCTTGATCTGGCTGGTCTGCTAGACTCCCGGCTCCTCAGCGGAGGTCTTGTGACTCTCTGCCAGACTCCCAGCTCATCAACGGAAGTTTGTCTAGCTTACGAATATTATGTATGTATCGATCCAGCTTGTGGCATTCCTCTGGGCTCGGATTGGTTGTCTCGAGCTCAGGCACTTCAGACATTCGATTCTCTTGAGCTTCCTACCTACTTACATACCCATTCATTCCCCTTTCTCGTCCCTCCGCGGGAACTACTTGTCATACTCAGTGTAGCTCATGATAAATGTCCTCTTTTTCGTTGGCACTACAGATCCTTTTCCTGAGTATCTGCTCAACTCGCCCACTCAAGCTTCCAAGCATTCGTCCTAGCAACTCGATTTGGCCATGGACTCTCGACCATCCTCTGCTGGCCAAAATTTGGCAGCTTCTTCCTCAGTCTCCAAGTCCCTCATGATGTCACGTTCTGACTCAGCCATGTCCCAGTGCCGCCCTCTATCTCTCAAGCCTTCCCCCGTCAAGGCCGATGGCCCTGTTGGGTCGAACGTCCCCAGAGGATCCCCCCTAGTCATACAATGCATCAACTGCTTCACTACCTCTACCTGGTTTAGCCCCTCCGAGGATCACATCCGGAGAGACCCCGCGGCTGATGTCCCACCCCCTTTGTCGACCTGTAGTCGTTCCACTAGCTCTGAGCCAAGCTCAATCAACACAGACTTCTTTCCAGAGACTGCGCTTCCCTCATCAAACGAATCGGCTTGCGCTAAGCGTGGCTCAACCAACCTGAGTGACAGACTTGCTACTCCGAGTGGGTCGGACGGTAGGACCCCGGTTGTTCCGCATTTTAAGTCCCCAATGTCAGATTGTCAAGTATCCCCAACTTCAAGCTGGGTCGGAGGAAAACTGGATGGAGTCTGCTCTAGCTGTAGTTTCAAATCCGATCCTTCCTCCACTTCATCCCCAGTTGCTACCGGGGCCTCAAGTTTAGCGCCGGTAAGCGTCTCATGTTCAACAGATCTCATTGATTATCACTTCCCGAGCTCAAAGCTTGAACACATCTTTTCGAGTCAGGTTCCACCCAAACTTCATCCGTACGACTCAAACGTCGAGGCTTTGTTGCCGTCCCACGCGGTCCAATCATTTTCCTTGCTGTCTGGTTCGCTTGCTCCTCGATACCGGCGGCCTGTTGCTTCCACTGCCTCGAGAGAATCTCCCCTCGCTGAAGCATCAAGTCCCAAAGATTCGGATCCCAACTCGCAACCTCCAGGAACCCTCGTTGCACAGCCGTTGAAGCTGCCCGTCGTCGTTGCCACAGACATGCTCGATAAAACCACCTTGAAGCTCTCCTCTCTTTCCAGAAGTAATCACCTGGGCCTCCATCATGACAATCGCAAGAACAGCCCTCTACTCCCATCAGTATCAATCCCCTTCCCTCTCGAGACAAGGGGTACTTCATGTGAACAAAACTCTTCTGTCCGCAAACCCAACTCACTCGAACCTTGGACGTTGAATTATTCGCCCTCGGCCAGAACTCGCGCCAAATCACCCCGAAAACTGCTCAGAGAACCAGACCGCCAAGACATGGCATTAGAGTTAAAAATCAAGGGCCAAGGGACTACTGCTCCTGACCCCGTTGAACGCTCCGATGTGGTTCCTCACCGTGGTACTAACTTGAGGACACTTTTGCGCGAAGCCAAGATTCCTCAATCAGATTCCGGCGAATCCTTCAGTGCTAGTCGGCGGCCCCCCATCGCAGTGGACATGTGGCAAGCAGCGATGATCTCCACACCACGCGATCGTCTACGGAATGGCGACTTTCCCAATTGGCAAGCTTACAACGGGACTGATAGTCCGTTTTACCAGCACCTGTGTGGTCTCTCAGCCAGTTCAAGTTCACTATCTGGAAAAGAAACTCTCATCTCGACATCTGTCACTAGCTTCCAAGATAATTCGCTTGGCGGTGGTTCCCGCTCATGTTCGCCACCATCAGATAAACATAAGAATTTCGACGTGCACCGTCGTCCAAGTCTTGGGGCTAGTTCCATAGCCGATCCCTTTGCGGCGCATGCCCCGGAGCGCTCACCATCACTACTAGATAATAGCCACCACTTGTTACCCTCTGCCAATGAATCTCAAGAGGTTTTGACAGGGCCCTCAATCACCAAAACTGCTCGACCCACACCTTCCAACGTGAGCTTGATTGCTCGGATCGCAAACCTTCACCAAAATGTCAGCAAGTCAAACAAGAACAACAAACGGCGCCCTAACACTGCAACCGGCACATCCGAATCTACGTTTATCGCAAAGGCCAGCCCCAAACCTGGATCTTATGGCCGCAGCACACCTTGTCCCAACACTGCTGGTGGCTCATCCTCCGTGATGCCTTCCCTCTTGATAACTGAGACGAAGGTAGCCTCTGCTGAACCCCGAGTATCTAACTTCAACATGTACAAGAGGCCTGCAACCGCAACTTGCCCTGGCACAGTTCGAGAATCTGGTTCTTCTCTGAGCAATGAGTTTGTGATTGGGCGTCAATTTCCGATTTCAAAACTTGGCACAGCCAAGAATGCAGTAGCCTACGCACCCGGTCTCCCAAAACTTCAAGGGCGCATTGCACGTGATGAGCAGACCGAGTTGGCCAAGGAATCTTTGAAAATGGTTTTCCAGACCTCCGTGGCAAGTACATCCCAGCAGGAACAAACGACATTGACCGGACCTCTTGACCCGGTTCCGATTTCGCAAAAGCTCACCCCTTCCCCATCCACGGCCTCCGATTTGCGCTCGTCCCCGGAAATATCACAAAGTGTTCCTAATCTTCTCATCAACCACCGGTCTTCCTCTTCCAAGCGCAATGCCTTTTATGCCGCAGCGCCTCTAGCGGCAACCTCCGATCGGCTGGTAGAAGTAAACACTCAGCGATCCCATCCAGAAAATCCGTTGAGGTTAGCGCCAGAGGATTTTCACAGTAAATCTCGTTATTTCACCGTATCCATCTCCCCCCGGCCATCCTCTACAACCTTCAGCCCAGGACAGAGAATATCGGTGCACGTCAAATTATCCAACAAAGCCAAAGTCCGGAAATACACGTCCATCTATCTCATGTTAATCGGTACTTCTATCTCCGACAGCGACTCGCCAGCGCCTGGTGCCCATGACTTCTTGCGTCACAACTACATGATCCATCCTAACCCTTCCGAGGACGTCCAAACGATATCCCACTCAGGTGACCTGTGCGAATGGCATATTGAGCTGACCATACCTGGATATGCTAATTGCTCTTGTCAACCTGGCCCGCTACCCCTTCCAAGCACTGGCAACCATGCTTCGGTGAGTTTATTTAGATCAAATAGCTATTGCCTTATTAGTTCCGTTAATGTTTATGACAAACTCTCTTCAAATGAAATTCAATAGGGTGATGTGTCGTACTCTTTACAGCTGAATGCTGATCGAAAACAGATCCTCTCGAACCAAGAATCGTTGAGTACCCTTATTTGCCTGTTTTGGGTTTTTAAATATCTGCTTAACTAACACTAATTCTGCTTTAATCAAACAGGTTGGGTGTTAGGCTACATGTAATCACACAGGCTGAGGCGCGTTACCAAGTTACAACCCAGCCGTTCAGAACGCAATCGCGCAAGGGACGTATTCCGTTTGCTGGCGGTTATCTAGGTGCTATCGAGGACCTCTCGGTAAGAACTCATTTCATGAACAATGAACATCAGCAGCTGTATCCAACTGACCTTCTTGGGTTCAGCTTTCTCACCAGGTGTATTATCAATCGGCCGATAGATTGAGAGTTGGGTACCAGTTTGAGCTGCGGCTCAGCTCCAACTCATTCTTGCCGCCTTCGATCGCTGAGGATGTATCGAGGGCAACCAAAGTTGAAGTCCACCATCTGATCAAGGACCACTCCAAACAGTACGAACTAAAGTTCACAGACCACAGATCAAAAGTTGTGGTTATTCCTTCAGATGACCGAGGTCGTCTGACCAAGTGGATCGTCAAAGGGTTTTTGGAGGTACGCTTTTTGTTCAATTGATTTTTCTATGCATCATGCATTTGACTAAGTACGCTCTTCACTTCCAATGAATGCCACAGCTCAAGTCAGTAAACCAGCAGATGAAAGCTATGAAAACAACCAGCGAAAGTACCCCACGCACCCCACGAAGACTGGAAACGGCGGCGGGGGCGCGAAGTATGCTATCTTCATCGCATGGAAGCCTGAGCCCGACGAGGGCCGGCATGAATCACTCGCTCCAACAGGAATCCGAAAGACAGGCCAAGCTCACCAGTAGCCAGCTGTTCCTCACTGCAAGCATCGAGCATTGTCCCGGGGTTTTCACGACCCCCTTCGAGGTCTCTAGCTTGGTCGGCTCGGAACTCTTGTCTCCTTGTCCCCTCCGAAAACTGGGCGACGAGATGATGAAGAGAGCCGTGATGGCGGAAAAGATGAAGAAGGTCCAAGAAGAAAACTCTAAAAATGGTAGATAGTCGTCTGTCAGCGTCCATGTGGGTTTGTGTTTCTTGGTTTCACTATCTCGTACCCTTGTTGCCTGCACAGTGATCAATCACCCATGGATCGCCATGCGTAGAAGATATAGCAGCTCAGAGGTTTGCTGAATCCGTCATCGAAGTTTCAACAAGAAACTTGCAAATTGTTTTGAGCACGTGGCTTCCATACATCGTAGCCCCGTCATTCCTGAATCTTTCCCGTATCTGAACTTTCAATCTCCCCTCGTTATGTCTCTTTTTTATTCTATCATTTTTTTTCAGAACTCACGATCGATCCTTCTGTCTTCAAGTTCCTGTATCATGTCTCATCTGTAGTCTTTTCCTTTTTTTTTTCTTTGGCATGGGCTGACCCCCCCCCCCCCACACACACAGAATCGCCGTCCCCCGACTTTCTCATCATGCCTTACCCGTTATCTCCGCCTTTTTTTTCCACACCGTTTCTACTCCATATGTCTGTCTTCTTGTTTACTGACCATCATTCACACACAAACAAAACCATACAAAAAATTCAACATCCGTGTGAGATGTTCACAAAGTTTGATTACCTTGATCTATTCATTGGGATACTTCTAGTAACTTCTCAGTCATTTCTGTTTTCTGTTTTTGGTTTTTGCTTTTCTTGACATTTTGGCTGCGCTCTTGAATGTTTTGTTTTGTTTTTTGTTTTGTTGATTCATTTTTGGTTTTTTTTTAATTTGCATTCTAATTTTTTTTTTTTTGGTTTTTCTTGACTGTTGCAGTCTGTGAGAGAGGTTGCAGGCTGGTGCCTCAGAGATGTACACCATTTCAGTGCATGTTTTTCTGAAATAGTAGCATCTAGGACATTTTTGACCCAAGAGAAGATCAGTATGCAGCCAATTCTGATACATAACCTCATCCAAAAAACTGCCAGCATTCAAATCATCTTAGGTATAGAGTGAAACAATCACTCCTAAAGATGGTGACACTAATTATGAGTTATATCCTGATCATTACAAAATATCTCTGCTTCAAACTTCCACGGTGTCTATCACCACCAAAACCTTTGTACCATCATGGCAAATCCTAAAATTGATCCTCATGTCCATTTGCTGACCCTGCAAGCCATGAACAACATCATCATTAAGATGATAAATTTTGCTGTATAGAGCCTTGCTTCTCAGACAGCATTGTCTGAGAAGCTTTTGGACACATTTTGTTGGGAAGGCTCCATGGCCCAGAATCAGACAAGTGCAGAGGTTTTCAGAAAACAAAATCTGCCTGTAAGCTGATTGGATAGGGCTGTCCAAGCAGTTGATGCATTGTATAAATTTAGTTTCAATCAATCCAAGCTGATCAAAAATTCATTGGAATAATCTGAAAGGGTTGTTCAAGAGAAGAATGGTCATAGTTCACACGGAGAATGGTCAAAATCCCCCTCTAGATTGTAACCATTTCTGCCAGTAATGCATTGCTAACCATGTATGTATGTATGTATACACATACATAGATCTGCCCAGAAGAAAGTATTCATGATTTTTTTTTCTCTGGTCAAAAAACCTATGTATGAAACCAGATATATGTGAGATAGTGAGCTGTTGGTAGAGCTGGTCTCTGGATATCCGTTATCCGCTGGCAGATACCCGCCCGCTGTAGCGGATACCCGCCAGCGGATGCGGGTTCGGGTGCGGATGTGCCCTTTCCGCTGATTTTCCAGCGGATACCCGGGTATCTCAACGGATACCTGAGGCCAGAAGGGCAGATGGCCATTTGGCCTGAAAAAGCAGCCGGATATCCGGATGCGTAGCGACCAGCTCTAGCTGTTGGGGAGGTGGAGATTCATGAGGGCCCAAAAGAATGAATGTAACTCGAGTAATGTCTATGGAAAAAATTAAGTTCATAATAGGTCCAAAAAATGCTTCAGGTTTTTTGAAGTACAGCTTCTTGATTATCTGTTGACAAAAATTTATTTCCCAAACTTGTTTGAAAGTGACATTGCTTTCTATTGTCTTGCGGCCCGTGGTCAACCGGGTAGTTCAGCATAGGGTGGAGAATGGGCCGGGTCGGGTCAGGGTCATGAGCTGGGTCAGTGGAAAAATAACAGTGTTTGATGAGAGAATGCATCAGCACTCCATTTGCGGTGCTCCCACAGCGCGAGAAAGTAGACATTGCTTCAAGACAAATGTTTTTGCTCAAGTCGTCATCACCCCTGCGGCTCTCCTCACCGTCAACTTTCATCTCCACCCAAAACACAAATCCCGAGTCCTTTGCGTTCAACCCTTGGTTCGATAATACAGCGGCTGTATAGAAACTACAAGGAATCCATTGGACTTCCATCCTATCTGACCACCTCCAACGAACGAATCAAGCGACTCACAGTCGTCGCTTTGCATCTATCGCACACAGGATGTCTGAGCAGGGTAGGTTCTTTTCTCATTTCCTCTTTCTTTCTCTTTCACGTGCAATATCCAGCAGAAACCTCTTCAGCAGATCATCTGCAATATTCACCATCACCCCTCACAGCCAGTCATTCCCCAGTGGCACTACTGGCTGAATATGGCTAGGAACTTATTATCCCTTCTAATCTCATGAGCACTTGCTTCACCCATCAAGTGACAAGATATCCTGCCAACTACCCCCGCTTTTCCACTATTTATGAGTAGTCTTCATCCCATTCCATTTGATTTATAGCCTTTGTCACTCTTCTTTTTTTTTTCAGAAACACACCTTTTAGCACACATCACCTCATCCCACAGTCCCATCAGCATCATCAATCATCCCCCTGGTTACCTGATTTGCTCTGCCTCTATCATCCATCATCTCCACCACCACATCGTCACCTTCGCCTTGCATGTCTTGAATATACACTGCCCGCGAGCCAACCCAGCACAGCCAGCTCTCAATCTACGCCTGCTCCATCACCATCCGCCTTATCCTTGACCACCCTGTCTCACTTACTCCTCTCGCCTCTCCCTCCCCATTCCGACACCAGATTGGACGAACGGACCTTCTGCCACAGATCAACCCACCAGCCCACACCCTCCTGAACAATGGAACCCGCCTGATCGAGAAGCCCGATCGGCCAGCCCCGCTAGAACCGGCAATATGGAAAGGAGTCGTAGCCCCTTAGGCGATCGCATTGGTCCAGCTAACGGCTCTCAAACTACTGATCGTGGACGGTAAACTTGCTTTTTTTCCCCAAACTCTGAATGTGACCAGATGTAATCTTCTTGCTTATTGCTTCCTTCTCCTGCCATTTTTTATACCAGTTCATCAGATGTCGTTAATCCTGGGAACAACTTGCACGTCTCTGGTATCAGTCTTAAGGCAGACGATCGTGATCTGGAAGAGTTGTTCTCCAAGTATGGTACAGTGAGTTCCTGTTTATCTTGACACAGGAAGGACCAAAAAAAAATCTCATCCATTGACTGGGGTGTTTCTTTTGTTGGTTGATCAAGGTGACCAAGTCTCAACTGATGCGTGACCCGCATACTCGAGAGATCCGAGGCTTTGGATTTGTGACGATGGAGACGAGTGACCAGGCAGAATTAGCGATCAGCTCCTTGAACGGAACCGAATTTCTGGGCAAGACCCTTAGTGTTGAAAAAGCCCGGCGGTCCCGAGGCAGAACGCCGACTCGTACGTGAACTCCCACCACTGAACCATCATTCTAGTCCGTAGAGAGTGTGTATTGAAAGTTGATATCGGTTTTCCAGCCGGTCAATACCGAGGTCCGGTCAAGCGCGATGATCCTCATCGGCCCTATGAGCCCCGTGGAGGATACTGCTATCGCTATGATCCCTACGACCGGCGATACGATGACCGGCTCAGGAGGGATTACGATGACACTCGATACCCCGTCCGTCGGGAGTACGATGACCGTCGGTACCGGTACGACGACCGCGTCCCAAGCTATGACCGGTACGGCTATGCGGCCCCGATGAGAGACCGCTACGACGACCGATACGATCGTCGCCGAGACGAGCGCGATTACGACCGTCGTCGTTACTGAGCCCTCTTTCCTTGATCTACTGTTACTCCTGTATCAGCTTGTACATCCCTTTCGAGCTCATCCAACTCCTTTTGCTTTCTATCGGTTTATCTCCTTTTTTTTCTATATGTCGTTGATTATTCCCGCTGTTTTTCTTCTTTGTCTTGTAAATCCCCCTCCTCTCTGAACTGAGGTAATAGATGCATACATGCTTATTTACGTAGAGGCTGAATTTTTTGAAATACTAGAATCTCTCTTTTGGTTTGTTTAATTCATCTTGAGTTGTTAGAATGTGTTAGTGTGTGTGCATGTGTGGTCACATCTCTTGTGGGTAAGGTGAAGCTCAAGACTGTGCTACAACATAGTCATTGGTTGATCTTGCTAGGTGGTCACTAAGGGCAACTGGCCCCAGCAGCATGCCTTGCTTTTCCAAAGAGCAGCCTGGTCCTGAATCACAAAACTGAGGCAAACTGAAGGTCTTCAAAATTTGTTTTTTCTTCCCTTCTATTTCATTTTTGATTTAGATACTCATTGGAGGACTTCCCATTGTGATTTAGAGAGCTTTTTAGACCTCTGCAAGTCCTAAATGAACAACACAATCAAGATTACCACCGGCTTACATGAGAGCCTTTATTAGCAGGGTTCACAATAGCTTTTTTTGCTTCTTGCACCTGTTATTCATTTTCTTGCTCACACATTGCTGACATGAATTTTCTCCAAAAAAGAACTCTGTGCTAAGAGCATCTCCAGCAGAGCCGGGGTCAATTTGTGTCTGAATAATTTCACACCCCTGTCTCAGCCCTGTCACACTGCTCCCACAGCAGACTGGCAATAGATAGCAGGGGGCAGTTGGCCAATTTGCCAAGCTCTGGTATGTAGACAACTATGTAGACACCTCCGCAACCACAGTGAATGCTATGGATCGACTCAAAGTTATGGACAACAACAATGATTATCTCGCAAATACTGCAAGCTTGACAACCTCAATGGGGTGGATCTCAAAAGGGAAGAAAAACTCTTAGCCAACAACGCCTTTGAGGAGACCAACAACTTCATGATGATTATTTTGCTGAGGATCCCACATACCCTGAAGAGTTCTTTTGGAGGCGATTCCGAATGAGGCAAGATTTGTTCCTGAAGATCATGGAAGCTGTCATGAAGAAAAACAACTGTTTTGTTTAAAAACGCAATGCAGCTGGTCACCTTGGTTTTTCCCCATATCAGAAGATGAGCTCAGCTTGAAGGATGCTCGCATATGGTGCAAGTCCAGACTCACTTGATGAATACTTTCAAATTGGCAAAAGCACATCTCTTGAATGATTGAAATTATTCACCCGCACTGTTGTTGAAATCTTCTCAGATGAATACCTCCAAAGTCCAAACAAATCCGATATCACTACATAAGCTTCTATCAATTGCAAAAAAAAAACAAGGTTTTCCTGGAATGCTCGGGTTGCTAGACTGTATGCACTGGATGTGGAAGAACTGTCCAACAGCCTATGCAGGTCAATACTCAGGGAAAGAAAAAAAAACCGACAATTGTACTGGAGTCTGTGGCATCATACAACACGTGGATCTGGCATGCATTCTTCGGATTGCCAGGAACACTCAACAACAAAAACATACTCAATCAGTTGCCTCTTTTTGCTCAACTTCTAGATGGCAAAGCACCTTTGGTCAAATTCCAAGTCAAGTTGAATGAGTACAACATGGCGTATTTCTTATCTGATTCAATCTACCCAAACTGGGCTACCCTCATTCAAACGATTGCCTTCCCAAGTGATGACAAGGAAATGAACTTTTCAAAACATCAAGAAGCTTGCCAACAAGACATAGAGCAAGCATTTGATATCTTGCAAGCCCAATGGTCAATAATTAAACAACCCAGTTGTCTCTGGAAACACGAGGATCTTTCATACATCATGAAGGCATGTATCATCATGCACAACATGATTGTAGAAGATGAGAGGGACACAGAATATGAAAACAGAATCAATTATGATAAGCCAACCGCTTTGGAAGCCTCAACAATCAACACCACAGAGAATGAAGCGAGTGATGTTCATTTCTTCCTTCAGCGCTACCAAGCTGTAAGGAATACCTCAGCACATGAAAAGTTGAAGGAAGATCTGATTGCCCAACCATACTGGTTGGGATTAGGTTAGCTCCAGGGTCAGTTTTGGAGCTAACAGGTATTAAATATATACCCCACTGATCCTCGGATTAATGAGGTTAAAGAACCTAACAATGATAATTTTTATTGATAGAAGACAAAAACCAGAGCTATACACAATTATGTTAGACAGATGATCAGAAAGAACATAGAAAAAGAAAAGAATCAAAGCATACCCGATGAGTTTTAATATATACTCTGACAGACAACTAATAGTTTTTTAAGAGAAGACAGGACACAAGATTGACTAAGGCAAAACAATGATTAGTGATTTTGAATATCAGAAAAAAATAAAGACTCAAGACAGGAGCTTCTTGATGAAGTTCTCACCAAGTTGAATAGAGAGACGAGACAATTGATTGTAGGGCAATTGGGGATTGAATGTGAGGACAGTCGATGGTTGTTGATTGTAGTGGACATTGAGTTTGAGATTTGTTGAGTCGAAGGTGTTCCGAAGTCGTGGTTGATGGGAAGACTGAGGAAGACTGAGGAATGTTTTGAGTTGAGATCTGGGCGGTTTTTATACTTGAGGGATGACAGGTGGTTAGGTTTCCCACAAAGATGATTAGAGTTTGAGATGTGGTTTAGATTTCTGGATGCGGAAGTGGTACGCGCAGTCCAGTGGTTTGTGAATGACAAGTAAAATGAATAGTTATTTGTTTGCTGAACAGGCTTGCGACATGTCGAGTTTCAACAGAGGTCACTAATCCTCACTAATCCACTCAACCAATGCGGATGCTCTAAGGGGTGTAAATTGACCTCTGGGAGGGCTGTAGATTGTGACAGGAAGTCATGCATTCTAGAGATTTTTTGCTCTTGTCAGAAATTAGATTTCAAAGATAAAACCTAAAACTTTCTTTGGATGACTTCCTGTTGGGATTCATGTAGAACCCTTCCAGAATTAAATTTCCACCACTTCAATCCTAATTTTTGGCAAATAATGTTTTTTTTTTCCATAAGTGTTGTTGTGATGGCTGTCATGTGAGCTGGTTGTGGTTTTAATTAGAGTCAGTGATGGGCCAGTAAAGCCAACCGTTTAGCCCAGCTTAGAGCAATTCCACCATGGGCCATAAATTGGGTCCCTGTGTGTAATTTAGGGACTCCCAAGACCCACTGTGTTTGCTATAATATGCAGTGGTCCCTGAATTTGGCTCTTGAGTCCTCACATGTAGGGACTGCTAGGGTCCCAACTATTGTCACCATACTACACTTTCACACAACACCAGCCTGTGAAACTCAACACTGGAGGACTTCCTGTCAGCATCTGCGGGTCTCCCAGAGCTGGTTTAGAGCCTCAAAATTCAAATCTCCCTGCAAGAATTAAGAGTTTTTGGGTCTAGATTGACTTCTTCTAGGGTCCCAGATGTGACGGGAAGTCCTCCACTCACACACCACTTATCAGCACAGGGAAATGTTGAGATCTGACTAGAGATGGGCGGGGATAATCCGTTGCGGATATCCGCTATCCGCTGGCGGATATCCGCCAGGGCCAGCGGATACCCGCCAGCGGGTGCGGATGTCCTTTCCCCCCCCCCCCAAATCCCGGCGGATATCCGGGTATCCCCTGGGATACCCGAGACCAATGGGCGGCTGGAAGGGTTTCCTTCCAGCCGGCAAGGTCCTTCCAGTCGGCGAGGCATGTACCTCGCCAGCTGGAAGGGAAACCTTCCAGCCGGCAAGGATCATGCCTCGCCGGCTGGAAGGCAACCTTTCCAGCCGGCGAGGATGTGCCTCGCCGGCCATTTAGAGGGCGGGTATCCGAGGATATCCGCTCGGATACCCGCTAAGGCGGGGGGATATCCGCCAGGGGATGCGGATGCCGCTTTCCCCGGACAAAGCAACCGGATATCCGGATGCAACACGACCATCTCTAGATCTGACCTCAATCCCTCCAGTGCTCTAGAGACGTTTTTCCAAAAGTCGACAATTACCTAATCTCAGTCGACTTTCCAATGATATCATCAAGCAAACTTCTCACTCTCATATATAGGCTTCTCCATTTTGACCAAGCTTGCTTCTTTCTTCCCCATGACTCCAGAAACATAACTCACTACAATCAACAGTGGGCCAGTTACACTAACCGTAGTGTTAGTGTAGCGTAGTGTTAGCCTTTTAAGCTACGCTACACAAAAGTTACCGTTAGCGGGAATTTTTGGCCCACTAACACTACAGGATTTTTGAAAAACAAAAAAACAACTTTAGCATAGTGTTAGCTACCTTTAAAAAGGCACAACTAACACTACCCAAAATCCTGTTAGTGAAATTTTAGCGGTGTTAGTGGGTGAACCCACTACACTACATGTTAGTGTAGTTTTTTGCAAAGTTGCGCTAACAGTTAGTGTAGTGGTACCCTCAGTTACACTAACTGTTAGCGTAACTGGTGAAAAAGTTACACTAACTGTTAGTGTAACTGATTAAAAGTTACACTAACAGTTAGTGTAACTGACTATGTAGTTACATGACCACATGACTAGCGCTAGTCTACCCTGAAGATAGTGCCTGATTGGGGGGCCTACATCCAGATCCCCTCAATTGATCATCATTTTTTTTCCGTTGGTACTGGGGGCCTCTCAATTTTAGCCCCCTGCCATTTTTTAACACTTACTTGTAAGACCACATTCCCCTGTCAGACTACCTTAAGACCATGGGTTCAGCGCAGTGCGTAGTGAAAACACGCTAACAGTTTGCTAACACTACACAATTCCCAGGCAAAAGAAGCAGCACTATGCTAACATTTCTTGGGCAAAAAGTGTAGTGGCCCATCATTGTTGAAATGTCAATGTAGAACTGAGGGGGGGGGGGTCTAAAAACACTCTAAACCTTGTTGATGTATTCATGTAGGGATTAAACTCGGTTGAACACAACAAATCTTGTCTGGGATTGCTGAATTAGCCACAAACTTATAAGTGCTGTAACGTAACAGGCAACATGTTCATGTCGATTGACTCGTATACTCACATCTCCTTCAATGCTTTGAAGCTGATGAAATGCCTAATAGGTAATCAAATGATTCAACTATGAAAAATTGATCGTAGTCAAGCCGCTGGGGTCTACTGTAATTAGACCCAGAAGTCTGAGGTCATGTCTGCGAAACCAGACAACGAAAACTTCATGGTACATTCTAATCTGTCTCCTTGGAAGCTGGCACAAAAAACTTTGAGCAAACGGGAAATTACCGGAGCAGCTTCATAAGCTTATGTTGCCCCCTTTTGAATAGGTATCAACGCTCATGATCGAAGAAACTCATCCTTAGAACATTTTCGTGTTATTAAAACTGCCTGGGCCAAAATAGTGGTAATTAAAAACACAGTTTCCTTGAAAGGACAGCGCGGGCGGGGGAGCCTTCAAGCAGCTTACCTACATAGTCGTCAGAGTTTGCACCATCCGAGTGGCAGGTTTTCTGCACCGCGGTCGTTACACCTGACGAGAACCATTTCGCAGAGCTTGATTGCCTTCGAGTAAGATGGGCTACGTTGTGCCCAACGTATAATTAAATGCTCAACTAGTCTCGGGTGTCACAATACCGAGTCGGGGTTAACCTCGCTCTCCAGGGAGACATATGTATGAATAACCACAGGCAACCTCTCGAGTGACCCAGCTAACACTGCTGGTAGATGGCTGCTTCCTCCCTTGAAAAATTGAAATTATGTTAACTCATTCCAATACTTTGTTGACTTGGCACGACCACCTTCAGTGTGCTTCTTTCAAATACAACCAACCCCCCCTCTCCCAAGAAGTCCAGAAGGTTTATGGTATACCGACCCGAATATGCCTCCGCGATTAGTTTTCTTTCTAGCGTGTCGACTGCTGACTTGCTCAACCCTTCTACATGTTGGATTCTCGTCACCTATTCAGAATGTTCAAGTGGTTCCACTTGCAAATAATGGAGAGGCTATTTCTTCAGTCGTGCTTCCAAGCGGAACGTCAAGCAGCAAATCTAAGATCGCGCTTGAAAGTGGAACCAATGGAAAACCAGTTAGCTTAATAGAGAAAGGTGATAAAGGTCTTGATAATAAAACCATACCACTGGATTTTTCCACCTCTAGCTCAAGGCTCGTGAATGCCGAAAAAGACTCTTCAACAAGTCCAGAAAAAAAAACAAATGTGACAAACGGAACTCAAGATCAGATTGTAAAATTAATAGGTACGCATACCCTTCCGATTCCTAACTATGAGTGAAACTCGAGTGCAGAAACCTGATGTCAAAATCAATTTATATGTCCACCATTGTGGCATCAGAGCGACCCTCGAACGGAAAATCGTTCTTTGCTGATCAAACAACCACGGCACCAACTCCGAAACCAGAGGAAAGCCTGGTCGATAAGAAGAAAACCAACCCAACAGGCTTGGGTGGCGAACCGCAACACAAAGAAAACTCTGGTGAATCCACTGCCGTCAAACTGTTATCTGAAAAGCCATTGGTCACGTCTCCCTCATCGGATGATGAGAAAGAGAAAAAAACTGCAGAAGGGAAAGTTCCGATTGAACCAAAAGGCGATTCACTGGCATCGAGATTATCGTCTGCCGGAAAAGAAGATCCTCTTCCGAAGAAGCCTCCAACAGAAGGCTTTCCCCCAAAGCCGACTGACGATCCAAAGGCACCAAAAGATCCCAAAACAGCCGGAGAAAAAATCAAATCAGACGAGTCAAAGGCGCCAATAGAACCTAAGCCGAAGGAAGCTGTTCCGGGGAAAAAGGATGGCGGTGAAGGAAGCAAGAAACCTGATGTAACGGAGGTCAATAAGGGGCAATTAGGAAAAGATCCAAAAGTAGAGCCCCCTAAACCAAAAGAGACAAGTTTATTGGAAAAAGATCTCAAGCCGCTATCAGAAAAACCCACCTCCAAAGACGAAACTCAAGAATCACCTGTACTTCTTTCACTGGGACAAAAGACAGAGGATGAAACGAAAGAACCAGAATTTCAAGCTGGTCTTGCCGAAAAGAAAATGGGAACAGATAAGGATTCTCGTCCACAGAATGATGCAGAAGGGGTTAACAAAAAGAAGAAGGCGGATGGTCAAGGAAAAGAGACTCCGAAGGAAGACTCCGAAATCAAACCACCAACTTCACTTCCAACAGTCGATTCTGCAAAGGATTTGGGGCCAGAGCCCGCTCCAAAGGCTCCGCCTCCCTTGCCTCCAAAATCAACTGTACCTCCACCTCCTCCACTCGGAAAAGGAACAGCTGAACCCGACCCCCCAGTCACAAAAGACAGTTTTCCCGAGGCACAATCCATGCGATTGGCTGGAAATACAGCAAACACTTTGAGTGTCGTCAAAGAGGGCTCTACCTCAACAGCTAACCAGGATTCCGGAGGTCCTAAAGACAAAGAAGGAGAAGACAAAAGCATGAGCAAATTGATTTACATCGGCGCTGGGGGAGTCGGGTTGCTCATCTTACTTGTGATTATCATAATTTTTGCAAGAAAGAAGCAGAAGAAAGAAAAACAGTCACCCGATGGAGAAAAGTCTTGGGGAGTTCAGTCTGAGGTCCCTATTGAATTTGGATCTGGTCAAGGGGCAAGCCAAATCACGACACCATTATCACCACCAATGAGTTTGAATGGAAAGAGCCAACGGGGTATTCCTGTGGCCCTTCCCACGCCAAGAGGAGATGAAGATCTGTCGGGAGGAAAGTCATTCAGTCGACAACTCAGGTATAGTAATGGCTCCGAAAGGAATAATTCCACTCGCTACGAAAGTGATTACGGGAGAGATGTTTATGGCCAAGATTCATTCTCAGCCTACAACGAAAGCGATTTCTATGATAACAGTAGATATAAGGGAAGCCGTGATCCTGAACCACGCGGAAGAGGTAAGATATAATATAGTCTTAATCATCATTACATTTGAATTGTGACACCAAACTGATTTTTATTTTATAACTAAAACAATCAGTGGACTCATTTCCCATTCAAAGATCAACGGGTCAAATGTCACCTAGGTCAGAAAGGGGCAGGTTTCCATATAACAGAAGGTTAGCAAACAGTTCTTTTTCCGGTTAATGTGTATTCACTTTGGGCACCAGATTGACAAAACTGTTACATTCTTACACCTTTTTTCATAAAAATTCCCTTACCTAAAAATGTAGATAGTTGATCAAAGTATTGAAAGTAACAGACCAGCCAAAATACAATATATTTTACCCTCAGATTGAGTAATCTACTCTCAGTATTCCAATTCATTTTTTTTTTTTTTTTGAAATCAAAAGAAATTCTCAATGTAAATATTTGATTACTGTATAATATTTTCAAGTAGAAGAAATAAAAAGCCATTGAAGCTGGAATTTCAATGGCACATATTTAAATTACTTACTTCATACATCTGGTTCAACTGGCAATTAAAACTCATCCTTAATCCCAAAAGGTTCAAGTTTTATTTTTCTGAATGTACTTAGAATCAAGTGAAAGCCACTAGGAAAATAGATCATGTAACATATACAATGCCATAAATCAGAAATAAAACATTGAGTATACTGATAGGACTGCGAGAATTTTTTTGAAAATTGTTTTGTTTTTCAAGATTATTGATGGCAACTTTGGTGTGCTATTGTTGAGTTTTGTGGTGTTGATTTATTTTTCCCTCCGATTGTAGGTCCTACTTAACTCAATCTCCTCCATCCAATTTTTTGAAACCCTTAGGCCAAAAAAATTCAAATGAACAGATGCATAGGATTTGTTTGTGGCAATACAACTTCAGCTCTAATCACAAGTCATAAATAATTATAGAAATACTACCAGGAACCAAATCATAATTTTCTTGAATATTATCTGCCAAAATCTGTGGATCATCCACACTCTTTAATCCTGTATTTTATCTTGAAAGAATTCAAAAGTCTAGAATATTGTATTTCATTAGACAAACACTGAAGTTTAGTAGAAGCTAAAGACAAGAAACCAACCCAGGGGCAGGTGTGAAGTGATGAGAGAAGATAAAAGAAAGAGTGAGAGAGAGAACAGGAAAAACAATCAGACTGTTCCTGTTTTCCTTTGATAAGGTGAGGCCTTATACTAAGTTCCTATCTGCATTTGGGTAATAGCCTAATACAATCAACGGTGGGCCGCTACACTAACCGTAGCGTTAGTGTAGCGTAACCGCAGCGAATCGCTGTAGCGTGGTGTAGCATAGCAAAAACCGCTAAAAACCGCTAACCTATGGTTTTGGATGAAAAAAAAGTGCCGCTACGCTACGCTTTTGGGCCAAAAGCGTAGCGGCCCACCACTGATACAATTGAGGAGAGCTATGCCTTGGTCTATGTACAGGATAGAGCGGCTATTGTCAGCTCTCTTGCATGCTTGACTTATGGGATTCTAGATGGTAAGACTTGCCTTTGGATTTTCCTGATAGATGGCCTTTGGTTATTCTTCTGCTGTCTTGTTGATGTCAACTAAGAATAAAAAAGAATGCTTTAGTAAGCTTTTCTTTTCTTGGTGCCTATAGAAGTAGAATAGTTAATAGAGATGGTTGCACGGTATCCGTTGTGGATACCTGCTATCCACTGGCGGATACCCGCCAGTGGATGCGGATGTCCCCTTTTCCTCAAAATCCTGGCGAGTATCCAGGTATCCCCAGGGATACCCGGCTATCCGCTGGCGGATACCTGCCAGTGGATGCAGATGTCCCCTTTTCCTCAAAATCCTGGCGGGTGTCTGGGTATCCCCAGGGATACCCGTCAGACGGACCCTCTCAGCATTGAGACCTTGTACAGTCTCAAGGCTGAGAGGGGTTCCTCTTGGCCTGGAGACTGTACTGTGTCAAGGACGACAAGGCACAACCTCATTGACTAGAAGGTCTTACTTCCGGCTGACGAGGTAGATGTGCCTTGTTGACCGGAAGGAAGACCTTCCGGCCAAAGTAAAAGTGTCAATCTCAAGGCCTGAACTGACGAAAAAAGACAGCCTTTGAGTCAGATCAGTCTCTTTTTTTCCTTCACTCCTTGGAGAGACAAGGAAATCTGCATATATCAGCCTCCACTGCCATCAGCACCACGGCATGGACTCTTCTGCCTCATTTATGACTCTTTGTTGAAATCCGTAGTAATGTCTCGGAAAATAGATTTTTCAAACAAGCATGAGCCTTGGAGGTGGTAAGAGACTTGAAAGCGCCCGGGCAATCCAGGCACCAGCGGTATGAGAGTTGAAGAGAACTTTCCTCAATTCCTCAATTGCTTTGCTCTCTTGAGCCTGGCTATCTATAATCCACAGTCTGGCCGAGTTTCAATAGAGTTGCGATCCTATGGGAACATTGTAAGGCCTCATCAACAATATTCTCAGTAACCTCCATACATATTCCTATAGCCAATTTTACCAACCAATATGTCAGTATCACCCCTCAGCGCAGCGTCTAACCCTTCCGAGGCTCTTCCAACATTGAATTCCATGTCAATTTATTCCAATCCTTATCCATTCATTATCAAATCCATTGAAGATAGCAAATCCCAATTTGATTACTGAGGTCTCCTGAGCATCGATATTGTCCTGATTGTTGTCTGTTAGAATAAGCATCAGCTATATATTTTAGGGAAAAGAATGACTAGACCAGGATTCAAACCTGAGACCTCAGCATTAGCTAAGTCACTTTACTAGGAGTGATGCCTTTACCACTAGGCTTGTCCAGGATGTTGATTTATATGATATGATTCCTATGTGTTAGTGCCATCAACTTGATTGTGTACATGGATTGATTCTATTCATGACATATGATTTTTATGATGTATGATGACACAGGTTGACACAATGGATTTGTATTTCAACATTGTCCACTTTATCATCTTGATTCAAGCTACTATTACACTTGGATTGAAGTTATTTTTCCTGGTGAGAAAGGACCAACACATTGAGATTTGGCTCTGGTGAAAACAGTACTTGATTGATAAACCAATTCCCTATCTGGTCCCAAATGCCAATTTCGACATCAAACCCTTGCAAATTGCTGGATGCATATTTTTTGAGATGTTTAGCATCATAGTCTACATGGTACTCAAGAATCCTGTTATATCCAAAAGTAGCAACGATTTGGATTCCAAAGACAATCCAAGACTGCACCAGAACTAATCCCCCTCCAACCGCCCTTGCTTTAAGGGGCGGGTATCTGAAGATACCCACTCGGATACCCGCTAAGGCGGGGGGATACCCGCCAGCGGCTGCGGATGCAGGTGCGTATGGCAGTTTCCCTGGAAAAAGCAGCCGGATATCTGCATCCGCGCGGATATCCGCATGTGCTGGGGCCATCTCTAATAGTTAATCTTACCAGTTGGGTTAATTTCTATCATTCTCCTTTTGGTTTTCTGAATTTATGTTCTCCAATTTGCTGTTGTCATTGCTGTAATCATCAAAGATGAAATTCAGTTTACAACACAGGAAAAAGGGCAGCAAAATCTTGTATGCATATGCTTACAGATATCCGCATCTGTTTCAGGCAACATCTTCCTAGTCACTTTGTGGTTTGGCACTTGGTCGCCTGCACCAATAATCTCACATGTCTTTGTGTTACAATACATCACGACATCCTTGTGTTTTCTTAGTAAAAATATATTCAAAAGCATTAGCAATAGTAGCAAAGAACTCATAGGAAACATTGAAAAATGTCCCATAAGCATTTTATCAACCCTGAAAAAAATAACAATAACAAATAACATAAAAAATTTGGGCTTGATAGTGTTGATCTATCCATGCTTCTCAGGAGACACATTGATTGATGCCTTGTCAGTTTATTCTGATTAGCAGCAATGGTGCAACAATGCAATGTGATGCAATAAATGGCCATGTATTGGCATTGCATCATTTTAGCAATGCACATTATCTTGATACCAATGCATTGAATCAGCATTGTATTGGAAAGCAATGCAAACCAATGCCACCAAACTATGGTGCATCACATCACATTTCTTTGCCAATGTGATACCAATGCTCTGTATCAAAGAATCCAATGCAAGTGATGTGATGCGGTGCCCCCACATTTCTCTCTTGATGCAATGTGATGTGATGCCTATGCATGCATCACATCAGTTATGTTGTTGTTAGGAGTCAGAAATTTTTACCTTAGCTTCAGGTATGTATAAAGACATCTATTCAGGACATATTTTAGGCACCAGAAATGTGAGAGCTTCCCTTTGGAAAAGTGCAGTGGGCCGCTACGCTACACTACGCTACGGGCCCATGTAGCGTTAGCGTAGCGGCACCATTTTTTTTTCACGTAGTGTTAGCGCGCCGCTACGCTAATTTGTAGCGGCGCTAACACTCGCCAATTTTTGGTGTAGTGTTAGCGCGCCTCTGGCGCCGCTACGCTACAGCGTTTTTAGCGGCAAAAAACGTCTAAAAACTGCTAAAAACTGCTGTAGAGCAGCGTAGCGGGCGGTTTTTTGCGCCCTGCGTGCGTAGCGTTAGCTCAGATGGGGGGAATTGCACTAACGCTACGCTAAACGCTAGCGCAAGTTTTTTCCCCATGCGCGTAGCGTTAGCGCAGAAAATGAGAAAAGCGCTAACGCTACGCTAAATTGTAGTGGTTTTTTGCTACACTACGCTACGCTAACGCTACGGTTTGCGTAGCTGGCCCACCGTTGATCCGGATATCCGCGCGGATGCGGATATCCGCTCACAATTTCAGCAGAATTTGATATCCGCATCCGCAACCGCTGGCAGATATCCCCTGGTGCTGGCGGGTATCCGTGCGGATACCCGCCCTTTAACTCGGCGGCAAGGCAGCTGGCTGGAAGGGTTTCCTTCCAGCCGGCGAGGTACACGTACCTCGCTGACCAGAAGGAAATCCTTCCTGCCGGCGAGGTACACGTACCTCACTGACCAGAAGGATTTCCTTTACCTCATCGACCGGAAGGAAATCCTTCCTCCCGGCGAGGTACACGTACCTCGCTGACCGGAAGGATGTACCTCGTCGACTGGAAGGAAATCTTTCCCACCGACAAGGTACACGTACCTTGCCAACTGGAAGGAAATTCTTCCAGCCGACAAGGTACATGTACCTTGCCGACTGGGAGGAAATCCTTCCAGCCAGCCATCTCCTCTTTCCGGCCTTGGGTATCCTTGGGGATACCTGGATATCCGCCGGGATTTCACGGAAAAGGGGGCATCCGCACCCGCCAGCGGATATCCCCTGGCACTGGCGGGTATCCGCCAGCGGATAGCGGATATCCGCAACGGATTATCCCCGCCCATC